AATACTTTTTCAATCAATCTTCAGTTCTCTTTAACTCCGTATTTATCCACCAATTGTTCAGGAGTAAAATTTCAGGTTTACAGCAGGTCGAACTTAACTAATGATAATTTTTTACCCTAAACTTTTTTGTGAACTATTTCTTTAACACCCTGTAAGTATTTATTTATCCGATTATTCATCGACTATTCATTTTGAAGTTCTTATGAAATTAATTAAAATACTTTCGGTTGCTGCTTGTCACGATGAGATGTGGAATATAAAAGTTTTCAAACAAGCGAAATGGGAAGAAAATTTAAGTTGTGAAGTGGGTAGTTGCTTCCGATGATTAGAAAATGCCATATTCAGATTTCTTTAAAATTTTTGATTTTTTCCTCAACATCTCGTTTTTTTCTTCTAATTTGCTCTATTCAAATTTGATTCAAAACAATGTGGCGTTGCTTTCATTTATATTTTGCAGAAAACATCTCTCGAATGCATTTTGAGATACTTTTAAGGGAGAAATTTTATTCTTTTCTTTAATGTCCAATCAAAAAATTACCTCGGTTCGGAAATCTCATCAATTTTCCTAATTTAAAATTTTCTTAGAATCATCTCTACTTTTATGACTTATAAAATGCTCAATATTTATTTTGTTCCGACTTTTTTATCTTTTTTTAATAGATTTGCTTCGATACAGAAACCCAGTTTGCTCTTATTTAATTTGCTGACTGAGCGATTTTTTTAAAAGCTAAATCAGATAAAATACTTCAATGAATGTTCAATGCAAAACATCACTTTGGATGGACTTGTGATGATGACAACAATAACTGGTCTTCTCTGCTACTAATCATCAACCTCATTTCCTCTTCAGTCACCCATCATCTCCTTTCTCCCCTCATCACTAGATCACCGATAATGATAATGAAATTGTGCAGCGATGATGGGCGTCGTTTTGCGCCCATTTGCCAGCATTATAAATCGTTGAGAAAGAACTACTTATTTTTCCTAATAATCTTTCCGGTTCCAATATATATTCGTTAATTGCTACATAAGAATTGATAAAATGTAGCTCTTATGATGTACCAAAAAATCCTTGTCAGTTACCAGTAACTAAAAATCTTATGTAATTCATCTTTAAATAGCCATTCTTTGTCTATAACTTAGTGACAAAATATGTACAAAATATGTTTTTGCTAGACACCAAATTTTTCATCTGTATAAAATTTATTATCTATCACGGGAATAAACTTTCTCAAAATAACTAATCTTTTATAAAGAATCATACTTCCGAGAAATGTTCTAAAAAAGTGCGACATGTTTGAAAAATTTTTCTAATAGTCATAACGACTGTCTAAGTCACTATCTGCATCTGTAAACTCCGCATTGACTAGCTGCCAAAGAAGTATCTCCTTTTAATATTGAACATTGATTACATATTATGTTGTTTTTACATTTTATTTCACTCTCTACTTGAGCGATTTTCTTGAAGAGTTATTGTAATTTCACTTTTTTTTGTCTAAAATTATGCTATTGAATGGCATAATTTTGATTGCACTAACTTTACCCCAGTTAAATTTCACTTTCTAATTTTCTTTTTGTCTTTTTGTCAGTTTGTTTCTATTTATCTCTGGTAAGTTTTTGCTGAAAGAAAAGGTTTCAAAATTTTCATCAAGATTCATTCTTTCATTAATTTACTTTCCAAAATCACTAATACTGTTGATTTCATTTTTGATACAAAAATAGTTATGTTAACCTACCCTTTCAATTTAAACCAAAATTCAATTCAGTATCTTAATTCATTCCAATCTTTGGAAACATACTATTTCGAAAAGATTTTAAAATAAAAGTTCTCGAAGTAATTCTTTCACATCCATCCATTAAAATTGCAACTTCAAAACTTCTTATCAGTTCATAAATTAATAAGTCATATTCGACAAATTATCCAATGTCCCATTAAAATTAGAACAAAGTTATTTGCAATTTATAGCCGCTCTTTTTGTTTTCCTTTTATTCAATATCTGTCCTTCTTCGACATTCACAATACTGTCTCCATGTTATCTCTAAAATCCTTAACAAGCAAATACTTCTTACAATTTAGTATTCAGAATAAACTGAATGGAATTCAAGTGAAATTATTTCATTCTACTTCTTACTTGGTATGAACACGTCTTTCTCAATTACAGTCCAACTAAATGATGGCATTCTTATGATCATATTGCGTTTTTCGGATGGATAGTGGAAGTGTTACTGATCTCATTCTTGATCATTTTCTTTGAAGCAATAATTTTATCATCTCGATGCCGCTGTTTAATTAATTTCCATTTTTTAATCAGCAATCTATTTGCATTTCTTGGTCTTTTCATGTCCACCTTTATACAGCATGCTAATATTTTAATGACAGTCTTGGCCATACTGTCATCATAATTTTGTTACAATTTTATGTTGAACTTTGCGCTATTGTTAGTATATTTTGAGCTGTGGCACCCGAGTATTTGTTTCTATAAGAAGAAGCATGAATGATATTTATAAAGTGCAAATGTTAGGTTATAAGTCAAAAATGTCAAGTCAGTAAGGGAAACGTCTTTACTGTTTTTGATAAAAGCTTTATAATTACTTATGTTGCCATACTTCATAATTTTTCCGGTAAAATTTTTTGTTTTAAACTTGATTGCAAGCCAATCATTTTTATTTATGAAAGCAGTCACGCAGTAACATGATATCAACATATTGTTTACAAAAACATAAATGTGACTAATTAAAAACACAATCAGCATTTTCTAATGTTTCATAATAATTTTTTCTTCTAAATTTCAAATCTTTGTTACGCTGCTATTCAATTAAATTTCATTAAAATCTTTAAAAAAATCACTAAATGGTATGAGCAGTTGTATGACGCTATTAGGTTTCTACTCCACTTTACTTCGATGACTGTGCAGTTATTGTATAATCTTTATGTAAAGCAATAATTAATCAATGCTTCCTTCTATTATTTGTTCTATAAAAAATTCAGACAATTTACATTAATTTTTAAAACATGTGAAATTTCAGAAAATTGGTGGGTTCACAAAATCCCTGCTTTAAAGTTTTAATTGCTTTTAAATTTATTTTCAAATTTAAAATTTAAGAAAACATATTCTTAATTTTAAAATTCACAGTACTACAATTTCTGAAATTTGAGCCGATGTGATTGCATATTCTATACAATAAAATGCACATTTTTTTCCCAAAAATTTTTTTATTCTACTTTTTAATGGTTTAATTCCAGGCTCAGAATGGTGCATTGATAAGAAGGTATTTGCCTATTGTGCAAAATGAGCAGCACTACCAACACTCTAATCCTCTCCAAATTTATTTCAATTCTATTCTTGTTTTATGTCAATACAGGTTTGATTTAACTTCGAAATTTATTGCATAATTTCATATTGCTAAGTATTTGCTATTTCAGGAATTTTAAGTTTGGAAGAAACGAACACATAGAATAGATTGCAAAATGTATGAAGATTAACTTGTGTACAATATTTGACATTCTCTAAGTTTGAATTTCTTAAGCTTTCACTTCTAAAATTTATTTTTAAATGATACTATATCACCTGACATAAAACTACTTTTTGTCTCCCTCTGCTTGGTAGTTATACTATTTAGAAAAATGGTGAAGTAAACCAACCATTTTTTTTTTGCATTTTTTAAATTTTGAAACATTTAATCTGCTATTTTTAAACTTGGAAGCACTAGTAACATTTTAACCTGATTATGAAAATTGGTCGATGATTGTCACGACTTGATGAAATTTAGAGAATTTCTTTGAAATTTATAAAATTTTTTTGATAAAAACTGATTTTCAAATTTTAGTTTCAAAAATACTTCCATTTGAGAAATTATTTAAATCTTGCTTTTGGCAATAAAACTGAATAATCTACCGATCCACAAGACATTTTCACATTTTCTTTAGTTACATATAAATTGTTTCCATAGAGTCAAGTGCAATGAAGTGTATGCATATATATATGTTTTAAGAATATAATCATTTTTGTTATATTTGCTGCCGAATCGTATTTCTTCTAATTTTAGATATTTCCATTAATTCATTTTGATAATAATATTTTACTTAATAGAGAGTTAAATAGAAAGATTTTGGATTTGATTTGAGAGGAACATGCAAGAAATGTTTCTCTTCAATTGTTAAATTTCATAAAATTTCCGATATAGCAATCCAGGTAATACTCAGTTGCTGAAAGCAGAAACGAACGAGGGCAAGCCCAAAGTGGTTAACGAAATACTGATACCAAGGTATATAAGAATTCTAAATTATTATATTTGTCCGAAATCACCAAACTTTCAAGAATCCTTTCGTCTTCAAAAACTTTTGGTGTTTTGAATTTCTTTAAGTGTCGCGAACAACTATATTTCAGCAGGAACATTTTAATTTCCAACTTTGACATTTTAACTAACAAATTGTATAATGCTTTTCCAAGGCTGATAAATCCGGAAAAAAGAAAAGGAAATAGACGCTTATGAATATGGAATTATAAGCGCAGGTCACGTAGTTTTTTTGCTAATCACTTCTAATTTATATTATAATCATTATTGTGCTGAATGTACAGTCTAATGAATTTGAGATCGTAGTAAAAATCAGTCAGAAGCAAAAACAGAGAACCAACAGAAAATTTTGGAATGCGAAAAGGACTCAGAAAACTTTATGTGAAAATAAATTTAGCGAATATTGCTGCTTTCTTTTTTTTATTAAAAATGAATATAAATGCAGAATTATAATAATTAATAATTTAAAAAAATGACAAAACATAATATGGTAACTAATAATACAGCATGTTGTAATAGGAGTGAGAACTAGTAAAAACTATAAGTAAATCTGAATCTTTAGATGATTTAAGATATAATATTTGATTAAAAAAAACAAAAATTATCCAAAAAGAATATAAAAAAAAAAGAAAATTATTCTAGAAACAATCTGCTTTTCATCAGATTTGATTTTTTTTGTCGTCATAAGGTAGGCGTTTTTACTTATGGGCAAATATACTACGTACAGATATTCAACAACAGCACTGATGTGTGAACCGGTATTTACTGGTACCAATAGCCAGGCGCAATGGTATCACAACGGCATAATTGTTGCAAATGTTTCAAGGTAGCTATTTCCAACTTTGTAAGAAAAATACATTGTAAATTTTATAACACTGCAATTTAGAAACATTTATCACTTCTCTGTAAAACCAACTTTCTAAAATCTTCTAACTTGAGCAATTTTTCCTTCTGAGTACTGAACATTTGACGGATTTCAAAACCATATTTGATTTGTAAATAACTTAGTGTAAATAATAATTATAAATAATTTAAACCCTGCGTAATTTTGTTGTTAAATTAAATTCCAATAAAATTTAGTGCATATTTTCAAACCTTTAAGATATTTTGCGGTTGGATTTCTTTCATACTTTTTACGGTAGCATTCTCAGCTCAACGAAATTCTCATAGAATATGATAAATTTGAAAGGCTTCCTTGCGATCTGTTTTCTTTAATTTAACAATATTTGCAATAAAGTTTGCAGTACTTCAAATGCAGTGTTGCACGACTGTACGTACAATCGGGACCAATCTATCCCAGATGTTGGCTTTCTTATCATTACAAATATATCTGTCGGCAAGTTATTCTTCAAATTTATCAAGTCATCCATTTCTTTCTACAAATGTCAACATTTTCATTTCAAAATGATTTTTGATTTCTTTGAAATGTTTTATGAAACCGAACTTTTTCAAGTTGAAAAAGTTTTTTGTTTATTCCAGAAGACGAAGGCGACTACTGGTGTCGTAGGATAGATAACAGAGAGGAAGGTGAGATAGCTCGAATTATTGTTGCCTTTGTGGAACCGTTTCCAAGTAATTCCCGACCAACATTTCGTCCAACTTTAGCACACTTTGGACAACATGTTACCGCTGATTGCCCAAAAACTAAAGCTGTCCCACCACCAACTTATACCTGGTTTTTGGTAGGTAAATTGATGTTAATTTTAGTAAAATCTTACTTCTATCAATAATTTATACTCTATAATATTCAACTTTTTTATGCTTACCATTTATAAAAAAATTTTAGAATGGAGAGGTGGTGGATTTATCAAATAAGCGGATTGTTCAAAATTCAAATGGCTCACTTCAAATTCAACGGTTTTTGAGTCAAGACATTGGTGTTTATGAATGTGTTGTAAGAAATTTTGCGGGTCGTACAAGTGCTAAAACATACATGGACGCCATCCCGTTTATATCTAATGGTAATTTATTTTAAATATTTTACTGACATTTTGGAAATTTTTTCCAAGATCCATTTTTCACAGATGCTTCTCAATGCAACCTCTAAAACATTCATGTGAAATTGATCAAAAAGAAGAGATTTTTTTGTAATTTTACATAAATTTGAACAGTTTTGTTTAAATAGTTGTGACTGAATCACGTGTACCTAACACCTAAGTTTTTTTGCAGATATTTTCGATGGTACAATTTTCACAAGTGTCTGTCAGAGCATATCTCGAAGAGGACTACCATGGTTTTTAATTAGTTGTCTGGCAATCAGGTTTGATAGTTTTACTTCTATTTGTGTTATGCTTTGATTAACTTATCAAATTTTAGGTTTGAATGCACACTATAACACTCTCGATAAAAGCTAACTAGAGTTGATTTTCAGAAGTCTAAAATAAATATAAATTGGAAGTTTAATGGCGCACATCATGATAAGATGTGCTGCTTTATCTGAGTACCTTTCAAAGGTGTTATTAGCTTTTTTTTTAAAAAAAATTATTAACTGTTATTAGTTAAATAATTTTTTCGAAAATTCTTTTGAAAAAATCAACGACTCTAGACATGGAATAAAATAGCATGAGATTCTCAAAAACTGAACTTGCAAATGAACTTTTTAGTATCAGTTTGCTTTTTTATTAAGATAGTGCGAAAACTTTGAACTTTATAAATGTTCACAAATAAATTTAATTGACCAAAATTCAAAAATCGTCAAACGAATTTAACGTTTTTTTTTCTTTTCAGTTGTTCTATGCTCTCTTATTTGATATGTGCGGTACTACTTGCACGGTCTAGTTACCGGAATAGGAGTTCTCTCTCTCCAAGTCTATTCTTTCAAATCCGTCTAAATTTCGCACCAGGATTCCGGAAAGTTGTAGCGCCAGTTACTGATGCGCACCATTATGTCCACATAAATGTACCCAATCAGTATACCGTTTAATAACAATGTACTGCTCGATCACTTTATGATTAGTGTGCTACAATTTCGTGTTGTCTTTTAGGTGATAGACTTTTTCAAGAGACGAAGTACTTCGAATTCAGAATTTCTCTAGTTTTCTTACGTCCCTATTCTTATCTTCTGCTTATTGAGACTCACTAATTTGTGTTCATCTGAAATGTTTCCGTCCACACAAATGTACGCAATCAGATCAGCATACGATTCACGTCATGATCGACGACTGATTTTTCTATGCTTGTTGAGTGCTTCGCTATAGAATGAATATGACGGTTTTGCTGTGGCGCAGTTGCTCTCTATACTGAAATGTTTCAAATAGTATAGCACAATGTATTCCAATCGATTACTTCTCCATAAGTGCATTTTAATACCATTTGCTAACAAGTTTGACAGATACCAGATCCTATTTCGCATTTGTGATCTTCTTTTTTCTTTGACAAACAACTGGACAATTAGATTAAAATGAAGACCACTCATCTGGTTATATTATTTACCTATGTTGCCACAAATCGATCAAATTATGCATGTGTTAGGTCTTGGTGGAACATTCAAGCACAAGTTCATTTATGATTGCTTACCCACCAAAAAAAGACTGTGTCTTTAAAAACCTAAATGCTAATGAATTATTTATTTGTACTTTTGGTATCTTATCCTCTTCCTCTGACTACTGGCCTCAACTTATGGTTTCAATGAATTTTAGCATGATGACTACACAGATTCTACGGGTATTTTTGTGTTTTCTATGTCTATCCACTTACGTTTAAGGTTGAACTTTATATGCCTGTTCCTCCTTAATCAATTATTGAAGAGCCATTGAATTCATTATCAAAGACAATAATATTGTCATTTGCTACGTGACATTTGAAAGAGCTCCATTTTTTGTTTTGTTGTAAATAAGTCATACTATGACTGTGAATATATTTAAAAAGCTGAGTCAGCGGAAACTTGCAAAAATGAGCATACCCTTCTATTAACATTGAGCACGAGAAACATTAGCTAAGTAAGCTCAAATGTTCTTACACTACTTTTACATTGTACAATTGCACTATTTTTATGAGTATTCTGTTCTCTTTGTTGGTCATTTGAAAATAATAAACATGCCACTGACTGTTCCTGAGTAAACTCGAAATTTTAGGAACAACTTTTTAAAAGAAACAACATTATTACATAAAATCATCTTATGCATCGCTTTTTCCAAATGTGTCTTGCTGAACTAATACACTTTTTTACCTTGCATTCGAAAATTTAAACTAATGCTTCCAAAAGATACATATCTGCTCTGGTCCTATTCACTATTGGAGTCATGAAAGTCTTTATCTATTTTTAAGTTTTTAGGGAAGAAGAAACTAGCCCAAATAATAAACTATTAGCTTGCACAAAGATTTGATCTGAATACATAAACCAGCACTGCAGTCAGTTAATAGAAGTACTTAGTTAAACTATAACTTGGAGACTCCAGTCAAAGCAAACACCTGTTGGGTTATTGTGCACCGTTGTCAAAATTAGCTCAGCTTTCAATGGGTTTAATAGAAAATAGAATTCACAATTTCAGTCTTCTTCACCTATTCATTTTTTAACAGATCTGAAATTAAAGACTCAAAACCCTCTGCCTCTAAATCTCAGCACACTTTCATCAAGATTATTTCCATTGAAGTACGAATCACAGCAAAGACAACAAGGTTAGATGGATTTTAACGCAGTAAACCAAATGAAAACTTTGTCTCGGAAACCGAGTAAATCTACTATCCCAAAAAATTAACTTCTATTATCCCAACATATCCAACAAAAATTAACTTACTAACAAGCATAAATATCTTCTGCTGAGCTTTACAATATAAGTATTTCAACAAAAAAAAAAGAAAAAAAAAATAACGGAAAGAATATTCTTGCTGTTCAATAACAATAACAAACACATTTCATAAAATTGAACAAGACAAGAGAAATAAACTACCACTAGCAAATATTTCAATTTTAAAATCATTCAGTTCTTTTTCTTAACGCAATAATATCAAGTGATTACGGATCCTAAACAGAATCAACGAATCCAAACATCGATAGAGACTACAAGTGTTGTTTGCTCCAACAGTTGTTATTTATAGCGATATCATTTTTTTATAAATATTTCATTTGGTAGCGGTAACAAATGCAAAAGTGAGCCAAATATTGATAACCAGCTGGAAAAGTTATGGTCAATCAAAAGAATCAGAAAATCACTGAAATTACAAATTCTATATATGAGGACTCTACTTTTTTAAATCTGAAATGTTATACAAGTAAAATAAAAAAGCAACGTGTGAATCCACTCTTTTATGTTACTGTGGTAATATAATATTTTACAAAAATTAGTGGCTTAAAAAAGGACTTGATGAGCATCAGAGATCTTTTATTATCCCGGTCAATATTTTTTTGACGCAATGAAGTTGAAGTAAATTAAAATAATTTACCTGATAACGTAATTGTCGTAGCGTACTTCCTTCATGAGATCTGCTGTCCTACAAGGATGAAAATGATAGAAAAGAAGATTGAAAACAGGATGCTCGCGCTGAGATATTGAAGTTAAACAATTTGACAATATTGTCTTCTGTTTATCAGCAGGCATCAGTTCCAAAATTTCTTCTATGTTTAATAAAGCACCGGCTGCAATAAATCATTGTATTTTCACTGTATGACTTTTACATGCACAACGTATCAATATCGATTTCCAAAGAAGTGGATTTAGCAAAAATTAATGCTTCTGCGAGCTTTAGAAAACATAATTAACGCTAAAGTTCTTGTTTAGATTCTGGAACATACTTCAAAAACTTCAAAAGCAAACAGTTACGAAAGAAACTACAGATGGCACTTCCCATAAGACAAACCAATGATCCAATGCTGATGTAAATTTTTCTTGTTTCATGTACTGAACTAACTTAGGGAATTTCAGGAGTTAGTAAAGCGTAGTTATCATTAATCTTCAAAGCAGTGGCAAATAGTTAATATAAAATAAAGAATAAAAAAAAAAAAAAAAAACTTTGTCGACTGAAAATAAACCACAATATGGGAACTTCATAGCTTTCATTATACGTAATATGAAATGTGCGTAAAATCGTTTGGCCATTCAATTCCAACACTGAACTGTTTGATAAAAATTGCCCATTTCTGTACTGAAATGTTAAAAACTTCCTTTTTTTTCTAAGCATAAATAAAATAATTAATCGATATTCTTTAAATATTTAAAAATTTCAGTTTACATAGCTTAAATATAATCGAACAATGTGCCCTATAACTATAAGAAAAAACGATATATTTTGAGAATGATTCTTTATCCGACAATTGTACCTTTCCGTTGAATGAATTCCCGAACAATTTTGCAAAGAACTCCCGTAGTCTGGTTAATCAGGAAGATATCATACGGTAGCGAAACTTTGGATCAGCGTTTTAAACTTCGATATCATGATTTCGAAAATGTTGAAATCAAAGGAAGTGCTTACATCATTAAACTGCCACTGGTACTTCAGGTCCAAATCCGCCGTCTTCTCAACAAGTTCCGCAATGTCTCGACTAAAAGTTGCCTTGCTTATTGTCCCCATTACTACTTCAATTAACCAAATTCTGTAAAACAATATGAATCACGGCATAAAAAAGCTAGCACATAAATCGTACATTTAATTTCTGTCTTATTCAAATCAAAACTTTATCATCGGTTATTTTAATATTAAACATATCTTACTACTACCACCAGCTCCAGATTTGCACTTTGTTATAGTTAGTTAGAAGTCATTAATAAATCGGAACTTCCTTCCGGAAAAGTGCTGCCTCATATTCGAAAATGACAATGAATTAGTGGAATGTATCAGTACAAAAATGAAGGTTAATAAGAATTTCAACATTAAGGATTTAAAAAAAGAAAAAGAGAAGTTAGTAACGGATAGTAGAAGAGATCCGAAAAAGATGCCATTTAATGAAACACTGACCTTTTTACAAAACTAAAATGAGGACAGTGACTCTGGCTATGCTGATAAGGAGCAGACAGATTATTGGTTCTGTTTGGTGCTACAACAATAAGACATGTAGGCACGTACATCTATTAAGTAGGTAAAGTTTCTCCTCATTTTGGGTCAATCCATTAATAAAAAGAACGACATACGTGGATGTAGCAAAGGACAGACCACGCACACTGTTAAATGTAAACAAATAACAACGGGCACTCAGCCAACACTGCTCACACACAGACATACACACAGATCGATGAATAAACAAACTGTCCTCCTCTTGCAGTGTGCATTCTCATTCATCTTTACTAAACATTCATTTGTGTGTGTGTGTTTATTTTGTTTTCTCAGAAATTCGAGCCGTTTTTCTTTCTAAATGTAAAAATAGGGAGAAGACAGGTGTTTATCTGTCTGTCTCTTTATTATCTTTAACTTATCAGTTTATAACTGAAGGTCGTAATGTGACATGTGACGTACAAGTGTCTCAGCCTAGTCGAGTTTTTTATTTTTTATTTTAGAATTTTTTTAACACCTTTATGAGCATTTCGTTTAAGAGGATAGGATAAGTTTGCAAATAATTCTCCAAGCTTTAGCACTAGCAGGGTGTATGTCTGTGACATGGCTGATCTTCCGATGTGTCCGGAACCTCGACAAATTTTATTAGTTTGAGAGAGCATATGTTTGATAAGGAATTATGCACTTTCTCATAATCGATCCAAGTGATACTTTATCTCTTATCCTTCCTTTATTTTCGCAGTGATTTCGTTAATTTGCTAGTTAATTAAATTATTCTGAGTTAGCACATGCATTACGATGCGTATTCCAGTAACTGTTGCGTGATCTAATGAGAAATATTATGACCAATGCAAAAATAAAAAACCATCATCCTTTATCAATACTACATTTTAGAAGTGTGTTTATTTCTAGAACAATCCGAATTCATAGCTTTGATTTGTTTCATATAGTAAATATACCCATGATATTTGAAACGAACATTGAGGAGAAGGTTGGTGATGCATAATGTCACATGTCTCTCTTTCCCTCTCTTTCTCTCTCTGTCTCTCTCTCTCTCTCTCTGTTCCTCTCGATCTGGAAACCATAGAAAATGCTTAACAAATGTTTCTAAATTAATTACTTATTACTGGTTCTTATTGTGTGTAATCTCTGCTGCTTTCATTAATTAGACTTAAGGAGTCCACCGGATTATAAGGTCAATATAGTTTTGTGTGAATGAATTGGGATAAGATTTTGATGGATAGAAGAATGATAGTGTTCAATTTTATCCAGTTTTCTCCCAAACAGTAGCGGACAATGACTGATGAGTATTGATATGACTGTGAACACAATTACACAACAATTAGTTTCATATAGGTATAGTTTTATCAGTTGAAATCAAATTAAAATATTATCTGACTAAGGCTATATTTTGACGATTTTGGGGAAGATGAATTGAAAAATTCTAAATGACTGGGCATCATGAACTGGAAATAATATTTGGAATATCTCTATGAACTTTTTTATTATTTTTTTGCGATATTAAATTGAGTTTTATTTTCAGTCTATCTTTAATATCCATGAGAAATACCGTAAGTTTTCTTTTTTCAGAAAGGTGTAAGTATAAAAAATGAAACGATGATTTTTTACTTAAAAGTAGTTCTCTTATTCGCATATTAATAGTTTCAGTTCTACTTATTTAATAATATTCTCTAACTTTCTGTGCTTTCTTCATCTGACTTTTATTCAGCGGTCATAATCAAAGTGCATTGAACCACTTTGAAGTTTAAAGCAAAGTGCTTTAAATGATAAATGATGATCAGGCTTTCATTCTGCTTACCTTTATACGAACATCCATTTCAAAATATTCAATTAGCACTTTAAAATTGGCTGTAGATGGATTATTGCTGGCAGTACTAACTATTGAAGAGAGGAACAGATGAGTGTTGCACCGCGCAGTTTCCATTTGTAATGTTAACCTTGGCCACTGTTTCATGCATTTCTCTATATGTATTCGTAATTTAAACATTTCCTCGATACACTTGAAATCCCTGTTGTGAAAGCGCGCGCATGCATGCATCTCTAATGATGTTTGCATTGACATTCTCAGAATGTCACCTTTTCTTACTGATACTTGCATATTATTTCGTCATTTTTGCATTTCTCGTCGAAGTAACGCTGTCACATTGTTTATTACATTAATGCGCAAATATGCAACATTGCTAAATCAATTATTTATATCATTTTATCTGTTCCTTATGAAGCTTTATCATTTTGTGCTACAAATCTCCTCATGGGAACATTCAGCTCTTCTTCAAAGTTGTTTATAAAAACTGTCCTTGAATGCGGGAGTCATTTCAGTGCACTGCTGCATATATTAGCTTTATTGTATATCTACTCATACGCTGTTAAGAACAGAGATTTATGTTGATTCCTTGTTATTTTGTTATTTAAACAACAAGGAATTCCTCGTTATTTAAAATTATTTGGTATCGTAAAGGGAAAGTATTAAAAGTAAAGTATTGCTATTGTAAAGTATTAATTTTTTGCAAGGAATCAAAACTTCTTTCGAAAAAAAAAGTTAGAAGGTTCAACTTCCTTAGCCGACAGTTCTTCCTTGTAGACATATATTTTTGGATTATCTAATCCACTTTGTTTTGATTCGTTCAAATTTCTTGACTTCCTTAAAAAAAACTTCCTAATTTGATTCGCTAGGATTGTCTTACCATATGGTTTCGCTACCGGTGGTAAGGAAGTTATTAAGGATCGCTCAGGGGCTCTATCGAATATAATGGTACGATAGTTGCTGTTTTGAAAGTTAATCTGTTTTGATTTTTTTATCTAAGGGATCATGCGAGAATTTCTTCAAAAAGCAAAATCATGAATGCTGCTAGGAGCCAAAGATATCAAAGAGGTACGATAAGTCTTTATAAGAGAGTAATAGGTCATCCTGCAAAAGAAACACTTCAGTTGTTGAGAATGTTTCAGGTAATTTGTTTTACGCATTTTGTTTCTTGTTTTGAATATTCTCCTCGACATGTCATATTGTAACCGGTCTTAGGTTACGTTTGAAGAACTTTATCTCTCTTCTTTTTTGTTTTTATTCTTTAGTCATCAAAACTTTATGTAGTTTTTCAAATATCCTAATTCTTCCTTCAAAATAACTCTGTAGGTATGGAAGCAATATAAATGGAGATGTTAACTCTTAGGACAATGTAACAAAGAATGGGTATTTAGCAAACATGCCACAAAACTTTGGATATTTTAAGTCAGATCGATTGAGGATTAAAATTTAGTAAATTTCACATCTTTCTAGATTTTTTTTAACTTGACGGTATTCGTTTGTACAGTGGATGAAAGCTGGAGATTTCATTGCCTCTATCCTTTGTATGATACTAAAAAAGAATTTGTTGATAATGTCCAAAAGTCAATAAGTGTGAATTTTTTCTTTTTCTTTATAAACAGAGGCAAAAGTGTACTTTTTTTGGAAATTAGCATGGACAATTGAGATCAATGCACTGAGGGGCTGGAAACGAAAGTTTGGTTTTAAACAACAGCTAATATTAAAGAGTCAGTAACGTGGATGTGAAATCTAAAATGAAATGCGTATCTGAGGAGAATATGAAATACCTCGAGGTAGCTACAAATATATTAGCGATTAGTGAAATAGTCAAGAAAAGTTAGGTAGTTTAGCTCACCTCACTTCATTCGCTATTTGAAATTGAATAATATATTTGCAAACAATTGTAAGCAGATAAATTGCCGTCTAAAATTTAGCCTTTCAGCATGAATAATTTGAAATTCATGTTTTCGTTATTAAATTAATACTTGCACTATGTACTCTCTCGCAAGCAAAAAAAAAGTGTACAGAAAGGGATGACGGGAAACTTCGACTAATCACTTTGTAATTTGAAATTTTGAGATTCCGAACTATTCCATGATGATATGATGCTTTATGGGGAAAATAAAAAAAACCTGAAAACTGATTACATTTCTCGACAATTGATTACACTGCTGATTATATTCTCGTTTTTCTTTATCTTGTCTAATGGCACTAATGAATGTTTATCAGGATGCTGTTTATTGCTTACTCGATTAAATATTTCATTTGATATGCTGCATATCGGTCCTATCATGATCATCAGTAAATTGTGCTAAATTAGGTTAATTTTGCTTCAGTTAATTTAAGTTTTCCTCTTCTGAGTCTTGACCTCAGTTCATTTTTTAATGAATTCAAACTACTCTAGAAAAGGTAGTACAGTTATTTCAGTTTATAGATTTCCGACGAATAGTGGAAATGAATCTTTTTAGTCCATTCCATAATCGCACTGTAGAAATTTTCCGGACACTATCAATGCTACATCTCATTTTCTTCATTGTTTATCAATCAGATCATGTTATCCAGTCCTTTATCAAAGAACATCTATTGATATCAGTGATACTTATGACTTTGTATATCGTAGAATGCAGTGCAGAGGATGTTTTGTATGAAACATTTATTGATATATTGTGTTTTTTTTTTTCGTTTTTCGGTTCAAGGAAATTGTTGGTATATAGGAATAATGAGGCATATTGTTTTGATAAGCAGGTATTATGATTATAAATTTGTTTTCTGTGCAACTTTTTGATGAGTTCCTTCAGAAATCATATGTGAAAAGTTTAGTCATCGCATCATTTCAAGGGCAGTTCGAAAAGATTACTGATCCTGTTGAGGTAAACATGAAAAATGATCAATTTTTCAGTAATCGGTCTTAACGATTTGTCTAAATTCTAATACAGTGGTTGATTGCACATGAAAACCGATAGTTAAAATTTAAACATACAACGGATAGTTAACAGTTACAGTTGTCTCATTTCCTTTTACCATCATTCATTCCGTTGGTTTCTTGGCTCTTTGTTTATACTGTTGTAACTAATCCCTCCAGCGGTATAAACTTCATTTAGTGAGAGAAGATACAATCATTTTACAGTACTATATATATTCTATGCTAATCATACGGAGCAATTCGAAATAATCTCCCCGAAGATTCTTGCTTTTTATTTATTTCCTACTAACTCATTCATTCAGTTCCTCTTCCATTTTCTCAAATCCATTTTCCTTGTTTAGAAGTTCCGTTTGCATATAAAAATTGAATTTTTCTTTGTTATCCAATTGCTTTATTCGGTTAGCAATTTAGTGTCATCAATTCTATGTAATTAGAGACACCTACGCAGTTAACTGTTTGATGGGAGTGGGGACATTTCAACTAGATAACACTTAACGGTGTATCTTAATGGTCTGTATCACAAGTTGATTTCTGTTGTACGTTCGTTTCCTTTTGCTTGCTAATTGAATGAAATATTTATCAAATTCGATGATGTTTCTATTGTTAAATTGCTTCCGATTTCTGATAACCATTCGAAGTAATTTTTTCGAAAATCTTGCAGTAGCAGTGTAGCTTGTAACATCATCAGATTGATCTCTTTAAACCAATTTGATCACAAGGATTTTCATAATAACTGACAGAATTGCTGAAATCCAATTCTAATTATCATCTTAATAAACTTCGATGCTGTTATTTGTAAAAAAATCTTTGGAAATGTAGTAATTGATAATATATTTGAAATTTAGTAATATAATTGGTAACATATGTGTAAATTTAATTCATTGATAAGATACCGTAAAAGTTGATATGCAGCAGTTGTAGAAGTCTAAGAGGTTTTCCTGACTGCTTGTTATTAATTTAACCTTCTTTTATTATTTATCGCTGTGAGACATGTTTTCTTTAATTCTTTGTCTTTTAAAGAATTTTTCATATTTTTTTCCTTAGAGGATATCGAAAGGAGCAGTAAGAATATGAGTGTTGGATATCCAACTTTTCTGATGATAATATCACTCATCCGAAAATCAAGTGTTTTGTTTTTAATATCTGAAAGTGTTAATTTGACAATTTCTTTGACAAGAAACAGGTTTTTGTAATGAATTATTAAAGAATTCTTCACTACTCGGATGTAAAGCATTCTACCGCATCGAAAATTTTCAGAACATAAAAAACGATGAAAATGGTTTTTTCTTGGATTTTCTAACTCTTTGTGGTGGGTTTTAGGTTTTTGAAGTAGAATCCAAAAATTTTGTATACCGTTTGGAATGAGCAACGTTTTCGTTTCTTCATCTTTTTCTTTTTTTTTTTTCTTTTTTTTTTCGTTTCTTCATCTTGTTCTTTTTTCTTTTTTCTTTTACAAAACCTTCCGATTTTAAAGAGTTTGGGAATTAATATTTAATGAATGTAATCTTTGAAAAGTTCCTTCTAGAGTGATTATTTTGCTTCTGAAAAAGAGTTCAGGTCATTGATTATTTAATCGGCGCAAAAAAATGAAATTTTCGTCATTCACGTACGTTGTTACATTAGTATTTAGTGAAAGGCTATTTTGCAATAGTTTTATTTGCAGAAAAAGTGAACGAATTTGTATGGCAGTACAAGCAACTACTATTGAAACAGTTACTGTAGTGAGGCCTCTCAAGGTTAATTCTCTTTATTTTCAGTACAGTTATACAAATTCTTGCAACGGTGATTGATTGCCAAGGTGTGGAATAATTTGTAATCATAAAAGGGTTGAGGAACTTTCGCACAGAACTATAGTTTCTTTACTGCTCTAGATAGGAAATATCTGAAACGTCGATAACAAAAGGGGTCGCCGACTGAGGTTTCGAATGAAGTCGATAACCGATATCATTTCCTGTCAAAAGAAATTATCAGAATGTACACAATTTAATGTATGCCGTTTTCACAAAACTTCCTGCTGTTGACGAGAGTGATATCGATTCCGGCAAGAACACTTTTCATAGCACTAGTAGTAGGTCCTTCATAAAAACCGGTCGAATTGCGATGCAGCTGTGTTTTGAGTATGTGCACTGCTTTGTAAATATCAATTTCAGGTGATAGCTTTGGTGTGTCTATTGATTGCATTCTTTCTCCTCATATTGTGTTTGTCGACGACATGGTGGCTTCGATCAGGTGGATTCCGAACAGGTTTATGGCTTGAATGCACAGCATCTGATCAAGCACAGTGGACAATAGCCGGTGGTCCACCGCCTGGAAGGTGCCAGAGAATACATCGACATGCGGGTAAAATTTCTTCCATTTGGTTCCTTGCAAGAAAAGTAATATTTTATATGAAAGGTGTTAAAGCATCAGATTTCAGTTATTCAATTTCAACATAATTCAAAGAATTAAACTGTTGAGAGTCCAGTAAAGAATAACTTTCTTGTAAATGTTTAAAGTGAACTCATATATATAAACAGTTTATTTATTTTTTCCTCTTCAGTTCAACTAGATTGCATCTACGAAATTCTTCTGATTTTGGTTAATTGTTGTAGCATAAAATATTTCTGGGATGAGTAATCCGATGACACTTCCTGTTTTATTCATTATTTAAATCGATTTGAAGACTCAAAAAACTTACTTATTTCTCATCAGTACTTCACATTCTCGCTATCTCAGTTTAAAAAAGTAAAAACTGCTTTTACCAGTTTCTATCTTTTCTTATCAAAGCTACGTAAACTTGGCAATTTCGTTTAATTTCATTAGTTGACTATACCTTCACACTTGAATGAACGTTTTTACAATACGCTTCCATTGAATTACTGGTGGTTTCATCAGTGCATAGTTGCTTTGTAAATCTAGACTAAAATTCCATATAGGTGGAAAGGTTAACGTTGTATCCATGCTAGCGATGTGTTTGGCTGGACAATGCCAATAGATATTCCTGCTTTTACTAAGCAGAGGATAGTGATGTGCGGATTACATTTACCAATGGGAAAACGTGAGGCACATTGACACCATTTACGCACACATTCCTATCCTCAAACGCTCCTTTGCTGTGTTCCTTTGTCATTGGTATTGAGCTTTATGAATGCATGGCGTGGAGCAGTAGAAATTCCCTTTGACTTTAATATTTTAATCCTGCAAGAGCCACAGGAGGAAATGTGAAAGATCACATAAGCTAATAAGAGTCGAGAAAATTTTTAGTGCTGTTTCCTACCCTTTTAAAATAGCCGTATATATATATATATATATATTTTTTTTTTTGTAAATAGATTTAAGGTGTTTAATTGTTTTTTCTGATCAGTTTTAAGAGAAAAGTTATTCCAAGCAATGAAAGTAGAGCTTAGTAAGTCCTACTTATCACAAAAGGGTAAAGCTAAGGGATAATATCATCGCCGATAAACACCTGATAAGACTGTCTGTCATTCTTTTCCTAAGCAACGATAACTACCCTACTTTTTGCCTCTTAGATTCACTAGTTTTTGACTTATTTCTATCTGTGGAAGATACTATTACCAGCTATCTGTTTCTTGCACTCCCACGGCTCATTTTCCAAAAATTTTTGAGAATTGACTCAAAATTTGCCCAAACAAGAACTTTGAAAGTTTTGGTTTCTTCACATCACTTCATTTCTATTTTCTCAAATAATTTGAAAAGGAATTCAGGATTTCTTTTAATTTTCTGTTATTTACTCGGGTCTTTTTTCTGCACTAATGTGGTTTCAATCGTTATTGATAGCAAAATTGAAATAGCAATCAACGGTGCTCAAATTCATTTTTTGTGATTTCGCATGTTGTACTAAATTCAGATTTATTTACACAATTTTTGGTAGAATTCTGTGATTTCTTTTTGTAGTGATTAAAGATTGGTCTAATTGTAGTATATCACTCTTCTTTTCTATCCATGAAATCAAAATAGTTTTAATTTTAAAATTCAATCCTTCAATTTTTTTGCTGTGCACTTCCACAATTTCATTTAATAATAGCAATTCACTCACGATTGCTAAATATACTACACTTATTGCAAAAATTATACTTTTATTGCATTGTGCAATATTCTCTGTTGTAGAGTTATACTGAATAGGGCTGTGTTTGCGCACATGTTGGTAAGTTTCTCATATTAGTAGTTTTAGTTTGCCCGAGAATTGTGAATCAAATTTAGATTCAGATTTTGAATCGAATTTGCGTTCTAGTTCGTTCTATTCTATTATAAATGTTGTTACTTGAGCAGTTCGAAAAAATGGATACAAACAGTAGCGTTTTTTTGTTATTTCACCAAGTTTTCCATTTCTGTTTTGTGGCTTATACATGCCAGCGACCAACGTCACCAGGTAAGTTTCTGTTTTTTCTACTTTTTATTAGTTTATACATCATTTGTTATGTGTTATAATATACATAACATTCATCGAGCTGAAAATAGCCGATGTTCTTTGACTTAAAATTTCAAACAGTAATCTGTTACATTTTACAGGATTGATTTTTTATTCGTAAGTCAGCTTTATTTCAGCCTATATCAAGTTGGTGGCAGCATTTTTAATCACTGCAGCGGTATTAACATTTTTCGCGTTCTTCCTTAATGTATTCGGTTTGCGAGCGCAAGATTTGCATAGGAAATATGTTTTCTATAAATTTGCCACTTATCTTTCTTTATTGGGAGGTAAGTTTTATGTTAACTAATCATTTTATTTGCATAATTGTGTTAGCTTAAATTTATCATTTTGTCAGGAAACATCTTTCAGCACCACTACGGGTATTTCTTTTTCATTCAAAATATAAAATGGAAAGCGAGAGATTTTGACAAAACAAAATGCTTATGTTTTTTTTTTTTTTTTTTATCCTTAAAGCAAATAGTTTCATAATCTCCTGAAGTGTCCAGTGTCGTATTTCAGTATTCCTACAGCTCGTATCTTTAATCGTGTTTCCTGTTTGTTTTTACGTTGAAATGAAGAATTTCGGTTATCGAAACTGGGAATTCGATTGGTCCTACGGTGTCGCCTGGGGTGCAACACTGTTTGCTTTCGGCGCATCACTGTTGTTGATATGTGATAAAGAACATGAAGAAGTATATTTCAAGGAAAAAACAATATATAATCCGCCACCGGAGCTGAAGTAGTGTTCAGCATACAGACGAAGTTTCTATAAAATGCATCTGAATGGGTTCTAGGTAGTGATAGCTTAACAGCTGTAGTTGGTATCGAATGATAAGAATTATGTGCAGCGAAATTTTCGAATCTTTTTTTTGGATTTGAAGAATTTTCAAGTTTCGAAAAATTCAGCTGGAAAATTGATTTTTGGAAACAAAGTTCCAACTCCAGTTAACGATATAAATATCTTTTTGCATGTTTTGATTGAAATAGTACTTTTTAGTTCTCATGTTTATTATTGTTTAATCGGTGAGATTAGTAGAACTCATTGTATACAAATGGTAATAAATTTTATTGAAAAGCTCGTATCTTAATCGTGTTTCCTGTTTCATGCCTTAATTAAGCATATTAAAGTGTTTTGTACATTGCATCGTGCATTTCTACGTATGATTCAATTTATGTTGCGTAAATTTTCATGTCAGTTGAGCTTACTTCTTTTTCAGTTGTATTTCTCTTAATTTCCAAATTAATTGTTCCTAGAATAGAGATTATCACAACTTTGAAAGGTAAAATAGTTTCGAATTAATATTTCCTGAAGGGATTTAAGTAAACAAATATTGAATTTTCGTCAGAATTATGAGAAACTTCAGCAGAATTTCTTCAGATACTACTTTGCAACGGTATGATAGGAAGTGGTCGGGAAGTAAAAGTTAGAGATTTATGACTGAAAATATAAGCACGGAACTCTTCTTTTTCCTACCCTTTGTTTGATAAAAAATATTTTGAAAAAGCCAGATATTTGCTGTCTTATTAATGCCGTATAAAGGTAATTTCTTGTACACTGTTTTTTGATTTGTGATATTGTTTGAATTTGTGATATTAAATTCATAGTCGTTATAAGAGCAGTATCTGTTATTGAACAGGCAGCATTTATACATGAAAAATGTCTTCAAGAAATACAGTTACTTTGAAATGAAATGAATGGTTTTTCATTTCGGTTTCGGCTTTTTGGATGGTTACACAACAGTTTCTTGACCATTAAAGTGGTTGTGAGGTGGTTTTATGTATGCTTCAAAAGCATAGAATACTGGCTTGTTTTCACTGGCTCCGTGTTTTTTTCGGGTCCTTGAAATAACTCAGCAGAGTTTCCAGGCATCGAATGATGCTTAAGCAATCTTGCAGGGGTGATTTCATGCTCCATGCCTAACTTTCAAACATTTTTGTATTTCTTTTTTTACTAACCAAACGTCAGATTTTTGTTACTTGTTTCCGAAGGGAAACATAAGCGTGAAAATTGATAGTACATATAATGATATTGGAACTACAGGGACGGGACTGGGAGATTGGATTGCATGTAGCAAGCAATTAGTTGGTGAAGTTTTCACTGTTGGAATTAGAGTTGAGTTTCTCTGCTGTGTGATCGCCTCATTATTATGACGTAGAAAAAGCTGAAGTAACTGAGACACATTACATGTAAATGCGCAATACAACGATCCAACATTTTCATAAAGTAATTCTTAAAACTATGTAAGAAAACTTAGCTAAAATGCAAAAGCCGTCAAGTTCAAAGAAATTCCAAAAGGAAACTTGATTCTGTAAAAATTGCAGTTACTTCAACTGCTAGATATATGATCAAATTTAAACCACTAGTATGTGATGAAAAAGAAGTCAGACTGAGCTAAAGCAATCACTTAATATTCTGCATCCTGCCATTTTAGCAACGTCTCATACCATATGTGTGATCTGAGCAGTATGTGAATATCAATCAGTGATAGATATAGTCACCAGATTATATATATATATATCATCATTCAATAAGATATAATCATCACGATGCACAAGTAATTTCGGTTCAACCAATGGAGGATACTTTACTGACATTCAGATAGATCATTTGTAATCGTTAAGTAGTTGGAACAAAATTAGAAAAAAAAGCATAAATTTAAGCTTAAGTAACGGACTTATTACAGAAAAATCATATCGTTTGTAAGGAAGTCAACTTCTAAATGGCTAAACTAAAAGCCGAGATTTTCATTGAACAAGAGAAGTAATTAAGAAATCATAAGTGGTGTGCAGGGTAGTTTTTTTAAACTTATGGGTTTGAAAATTAAAATAAACACTTTCGTAAGGCAGCTGAGCTGTGTTAAAACCTGTTAAGTAATAATGACGAAAATGGTAAATGATAACAGATGAGTTAGGACCAACACCTCTGGCAAAGAGATGAACCAAGCAGGGATTTTGAAGAAGGTTAAACCAGTTCAAACTCCTCACTCAACACTCACCAGCAACAACGAACTAATCAAAAGAGCAGTGTGAAATAGATTTATATCAGCAACGTCATAGATGAGCACATTATCTTTTGTCTTCCTAGCCACAATTACCTCAAAATTTCTGAAATACCACTCAAAAAAGTAAAAAAGAATGAAAATCATTTGCAAATTCTTTGAGCCCCATTTCTGCAATACTTTTATTATTTAATCGACTTAGAATTTCGGACTGTGACATTGCAAATAAATCACTAAGACAGTGATAACGACATCTGAATTGTGTTAAAGTGAGAATGAAATGTTGAATAATAAATGACAATCTAATAATAAAGAAATTTAATAATTAAGAAGTCAAAGGACAAGTGGAAAATATGAAAACTATCATATACATCAATATATAGTTGTCGTCTCCTCCTAGGGAAGATTTCAGTGCCTTTGGATTAACCCTCATTAGTAGTGAAACATATAAGACATAATTATGGAATATGGAATCGATGCATTAACAGCTGCGCTGTTAATGCCATTGGTAATAATTTTTAGTTTGAACACTTTTGTACACTGATATCATTTGCTAACTGCTTGCGCTGAATAGTCTGAAAAGCGTAATTTGAAATTACTGAACCAAAAACACAACCCTGTCGCGATTTTTTGCATTCAAATACTTTCATATAAATTGCTGATTTATCTGAATCAACTACGTGTTAAGTGAAAATTTAATACACAACTTAAACAAAACTCCCAAAAGAAAAAAAAATGGAAAACATATGTCAGAAAAATAAATAGCAACTTTAGTAATAAAGACAATATATAAAATATGTAATATTCACATGAAAAAGTGCATGCATTAATAAATGTAATAATTTCCGAAAGAAGATACGGAAAACGGAGAAGAATCAAAGAAACCTGAGCGATACATCATAGATGAGCAAATGTTATATAAAAGACAACTGTAAAAAATGCATAGGATACAGTGATATTAGAAAAATGGTTCCTTGACAAAAAGAGACAAGAAAAAGAACTAAAAAAAGATAGATATGAAAAAGTTGGACAACGACGAATGACACTGGTAGTAACGATGAAGAAAAAAGAGACCGTAAATGCAATATTTTGAAGAAAGTAAATAGAGAGACAGAGCAACAGAAAATGCACAAAAATTATATTAAGAATTACAATTAAGCATACAAAATACTTGTAGTGAATAAAGAAGTTTACTCAATCCTCGAATAATAATTACTAATGACTAGCAATAATAATAATAATAATAATAATAATAATAATAATAATAATAACGAGGAATGAATTACACATATGCTAAACATATAGTACAAACGAAATTGTTTTAAATATAGAGGATACAGCAGATATGCACTAAATAAAAATATACAACATACAACACAGATGAAAGAAATCTTGACAAAATCCAATATAATTTAGAAATTGTACAAAAAATGAAACCAAGCGATAAATGCAAATAGCAATATCTATTTTTGTGTTAACAACAATTTACTCTTCTCTCCAACCTTCAGCAAATTCAGACCCTTCACATTCTGAAGTCTCATGGAACCATTCTTCCACATTCTCATATGTCTTTGCTGGACGATCCTCCAATAATGCTTCACACAACTTGCAGAAATGAAATCTGAAACCATTATCAAGCAAGTGGCCACTACAAAACTAGTAACTTTTTTTTAAACGATCCTATTTTTGTAAAAAAATCAAATACGAACCTATACCCAATGTTCTGATATGCTCGAACCCAACCATCACCACGCCATTTGAAATACTCCAAATACGCTGTTTTATTAGACATCAGTGAAATCAAATAATCGGCCATGGCTTGCGCACTTTTAAAATCATCCATAGGTATAAAGGACTGAGGCGGAACTATGCTTAAATTCATTTGAAATTACTTAAAGAAATAAAGAAATAGGCCATAACGCAGTATACTGGAAATTCATTCGGAAATCTAACAAAAAATTTAATTGATAATTCTAATGTATATCAGTCATGGTAAAATTTCAATAAGCAATAATAAGAATGCGAACCAACTTTTCATACGTTTTCCGCCTCATAACAATAGGAACACTTGGTAGATGGTATCGATCGAAGTACTTCTCCGTAACATAATTCTTACAAACAGTATTTTCAATTGCGATATAAAAGAAATTCATTACACCCAGGTCTTTTTCACATTCAGAAGCTCGCTTACATGCATCACGTTTGTAAGGATTGTCTGCACATGCTCCATATTTATCTACCATTATGTATCTAAAATAATGGTCCTTGAAAATTTGTGAATTGATTACCTGCACTCCAATGTTTTTTTTTTCTGAGGCTAAAAGATAGCTCAAACACACTTTACAAATGTTGATTTCAGTAAAATTTTCCCCGTTTCCAATATATATATCCGTTATTATACAATGATTATGAAATTCAGGAGTAATCGCAAATTAAACTCGAAATCCACGTATAACTGATTGTATTTAATAAAAAAGCAGAATTCTTGCGGGAAATTGAGATTTCTAAATAGTTGGAAAAAGTGATGAGCATTTACTTTCCAAGTTTTTCAACAGCTAACTCTCGTTTCGAAATTGTATTGCAATTCGACACCAACCAAAATATTGCACTAGTTTTATTTTCCAATATTGTTTTTTCATCATAAGGTAGATTTTCGGATTTAATACCAAGTATTTTATTAATTTCGGGACTAATCCAATAACCTCCATAAACCCATGGAACATCTGAATCATGCCGATATGTCATCGTCCAGTTAAAAAAATTACCTGAAACATAAATTAGAAACTAATTACATAAAAGCGATGTTAGGAAACGCATAAAAAACGAACAAGATTAATTGTACTAAAATTTTGCATTACCTTTTTGTCTCAGATGTTACCTTCTTCTAAACAAGTTATTGCATTGGATATAATACTAAGGAAAAACGAACGAGGTGCATGCAAAGCCTTCCTCTGCCATAGTTTATAAGTCGGAGGTGCTTCTACTGTTAAGAAAACATAGCGTTGTGATGGAGACCTCTTTTTTGGTAAATCGCTCAAGCGAAAATCTTCAATCATGAAGTGGAAAATTACAGCATCAGCACTGTCAACCAAAGATCGATCGGTCGTAATCACACACTTATCCTGAATAAATACTCAAAATGTTTCTTGTAATCAATAAAACAAATCCTACTTTATTTCCTATCAATATATATCTGCACCATAACTAACCTGCCCTCGCAATTTTGCAAAATCTTTTCACGAAATGGACGAAATTGTTGCCTACCTTTAAATCAGGGCACTCATTCATCAAATGCAAACGATTTTCTGGTAATTCGCTAAAAAATGTTGTCCACATAAGCATCAACTTTTGTTTCGTCTTTATAGATTGTTGTTGCTCATGTGAATAAATCATAGTCCAGACAGTCTGCTGGCTTACGAAAAATAAATGTGGCACTATTCTCGAAACGATAAAATAGAAAAAACAGATAATAATAGCTCCAGTAAAAATTCGAGAACGCAATAGCATCATTCCTAAACCACACAGCCACTGTCGATGCTATAAATTTTTCTACAAAATATATCGCTTGGCTGGCTAAGAACAAGAAAAACCGAAAACCATATGTTAATCTATGCATTCACAAATTAAGAACAAGGCGAGCAATTTCATTTCGTCAACAAAATCAGTTTTTTTTAATAAAAATAAAAATTGCATGCCCTGAAGCAACTAGCTTTAAATTGGTTCTTCACCCAGAAAAGAGTGATTTCTATGTTAGATTTAGCTAATAATTTCTTTAAATTAAACCTTTTTTAGTATCTAAAGTATAAAAAAAATTTGTTAGAGACAAATTATACCACTAAATGATTGCGAATAAAAATTTATTTGCACAATATTTACAATTTTTAATATACTCATCAAGGTTTTTAAGCAAAAATTTCCACGAAACTTTCTTACAAAGCAGACAATACTGTAATAATAATGAATAGAAAATTTAGGTTACAAAGACGAGGACAGATTTAATACCCGCGATAACAGCCATAATTAGAAACAATCACAGCTCACAAAAATCAAATTAAAACTAAGATATTTGTATTTCAATAAGCTTTTTTTTTTCAATTTCAATAATACAATAATATTTCCATAATTTGTATTTCAATAAGCTCTCACTATCAGCGATACTTCATAAAATTTGGTTCTGTTCTAAGGACTTTACTGATTGAGTTGTTATTATCCACAAAATCCCACTGATCATACCTGAAATGACAATGTCAAAAATGTGAGAAAATGACTACTAAAAAATGTGAAGAGCTGATGTAAGATATAAAGTCTGATTATTTATGATGTCATCTAAATCATTTTAGGAGGCAATACGACCTATATTTAGCTTCAGAAATATTTTCATATCACTTAATGGGAGAGTTGAATTTATTTTCTTATATTTTTGGATCTCACATGGCTGAATGATATATTATATTAATTTATCAGTTTAGAAGGATTTTAAAAATTTTGAACTCAAAATTTAAGAAATCATTAGGTCGTGCTAATAACACATATAAGATCATTTAAAAAGCTAATATTTTGGAGAAATTACTACATACCTTCTATTTAGATCATTATCTTTGTTGTATAAAAAACTTTCTGTAAAATACTGTGCAGGATCTAACAACATATGAAAAGGTTTTTTATCAGAACCAACTGTTATAACAACCGTAAAAAAAATGTAAAATTCGGCATGATGCCAACAAATTTATCTAAAATTCTAAACCCATAACGTAAGATTAATATATACTTAGTAGCGATTGTATGGTTCTTTGGTTTAAAGAAACCAGTTCGCTGCAACTTTTCACCTCGGTATCCCAAACCTTTTTTTTCATTGCTAGTTTGAGCACAGCCTTCTTCCATCTCCACTGAAACAGTTTCGAGACGTCCCAAATTGTGTGCACCAAGACCTAAACCTGGAGACCAACCCCAGCTAAAATAAAACGTTAAGGTTCGACGCACATAATTACACAAGATGTATAGTAAATATATAACAGAATTTTATGAATAACTAATACATTTATTATTAAAACCTTTTCATGATTTTACTGCCAATTCCCTTTGTATGAGTCTCAAATTGACCAAATCCAATAGATTCAACAGCAGATAGTGGCCTCTCAATGCTTTCGTAATGCCTTTTCTTTGTTTTCTTTTTGAAAACTGAATGTTTAACTTCACCAGATCTGTAAACGATGAAGACAAATAAAGGAACTTTCATTAATTTCACACAAGACTAATCTTTTATTTTTCAAAAGCCCGGATACGGTATGAAGACTTTATGAAGAGTAGAGAGAATGAGAAAAATCTATCAATTCTTTCCATCAACATCTTTAAACAGCCTTAACACTGTAAATTTCCATGAGATTTATAGTGTTAAAGAGGAGTTCCTTCCTTTTTACGCATGACACAATAACCCCACTAAACGGCAAAGTTTGAAAAGTCTTACCAACTGGATGAGCAAGCTCTTATCTTAATCCACTGGTAAGTAGATAGAAGAATAAAGATTAAATAAAAGTTAAATTCTATCGAGACAAAAACAAAAATAGAAATATCTGCAAAATCTGTTTCTCACCTCAGCTTTTGATCCTCCATCATTTCCACTGAATGCTTTGCATCTAAATCACCCTCTTTTCGATCATAATAAATCGAATAATCAACATCCCAATCATCAGCCCACTTCCAATCGTTATCTGTCCCATCTTCTAATTTTTTCCAAAAAAATGTGTCCGTATACCAAACAAGACCTGGTCCTCCTTTCTCCCATGTCACCTGTAAAAAAGCTGACCTTTCAGTTACAATTTATGGCCTTATTATCAATTTGAACTAGGGATTGGTGAATCTTCACTCAAAATGTGAGCCCATATGTAGTTGCAAAATCCACTGAAAGCTATGCCTCCTGCTCTATCTCATATTTTCTTGGTTTGATACGTTCTTGCTCCGTTACATCGTCGTGAAGAATTTCATGACTGCAACAGATAAAATGTCACTCAAAAGAGCTCGGCAAAAAGAGAATATATGAATTACAATCTTTTAATTAATAAAGAATTAATAGGTTTCAGCTGTGAATTAAAATGCAAACGAATCCTCAAGAATTATAAACTCTAATAAAACAACCATAAGTAAAAGTTAAGCAAAAAACAAAACCAAAAACCATACCGTTCCCACTCTTCATAACTATCACCGTCATACTCTATATCATCCACATTTCTCAGTCTAAATTTATTGTCAGCTATTTCTTCTGGAGTGCATAAATTGAGGTTCGAATACGAGGATGAAATCTTCTCCTCTAAAGATAGAAACTTCAGACAGCCTAGCCTATTTTGAGAAAACCATGATTTGACAAAATTTTTAAATATTTGAAATAATTACAAACTGATTTAGTACCATAAGTTTCTCTCAAAGCTCCAATTCCTACATTCCTATTTTTATATTTTTAAGCATGCAAAAATAACGAAATAATAAGCTACACCTTCACAATCTATAACAGTAGCTTCTTCACTTCCACTGTATTTAAAACAGACGGCAGCGTACTTGCCTCTTCGTTTTTTTGTCTGGATACCCAATTTTCTAAGAACCATTGGCGGTAATTTACAAAGGCGAATCTAAAATTAATCGGTAAAAAGTCAGACAACATGGATTAAACCTAACTGCGCAGAAATAGGATTAGACATGTTTAAAAATTTTGTATTAATTATAAAAAACAAGTTTTGGAATGAAATATCTACCTGTTCAAGAAAAAAGCTTGTTGGAGTACCAACGTTTCCAAAAGGCATAAGGCTTGGTGGTTTAAGTTCAATAAAGGAACGAAAATCTAAATTTGGTGATATTCGACAGCTATCACCTAATCTCTGGAAACGAAAGTATTAACAAAAACATTACATATAAAAGATCTAAATATAAAGGACTGTAGAAAAACTGCAAATCAGTAATCTTAAACTTAATCGAAAAAAAAAGCGAAAGAAAAAACGAAATGAACAAATGAATATGATCAAAATTGACAAATAAATGAATAGGTAGGGTGAGATATAGAAATAGACAGACGCAAAGTCAAGACAAAGAAAGGAATGAAATTAGTAGAAAATTCCTGAACCACGTACAGAATGAAAGGTTTTAAAGGGCGTGCATTGTGATGCTTGTAGTAAAGACAATATAAAATAAAACTAAATAAAAGCTAACAAACAACAAAAAGCGTACAAAAATGATCTCATTAATAACCTCGCAACTTTTCAGAGGAAAAATGAAGCACTTCAACGGCATTTGAAGTCCTTTCTCATCAACCCAGAACTTCAAGTGATAGTGTCTGATGCATGCAGCTCGCTCTTGTTCATTTTTAAATGAAACAACGCAGCAAAAACGTTTATATTCTTCAGAGGTTGTCAAAGTATTCATATCATTATCAGCCTAAAATACAGAATTTGCTTTCTTAATATTCTAAAAAAGCTAAATCACAAAACCTGATAACCAAAATTTATACTAAGTATTCTTTTCAAATCCAGCTTACAAGTATTTCGGGTCGATGTCGATAATGGAAACAATGAAATCGTCCACTTTCGACATAATATGAGAAGAAACACCGCAAATGCCTTGCATGATATGCCTTCGGAATGTTGCGAACAATTGCATAAGCTTCAAATAAATAAATAATGATAATTAATAATAAAAATAAATAATAATAGATAAATAATAATGCTCTATAATGCTTTTGGCAACTACTACCGGATGAACAAAAGTGAACTGAACCTTTTCCAGACTTAAACACGACTTGCTTTTCATTTTGAAAAGCAAGTCGTGTTTAATAATAATAAATAATTAATAATAAAAACTTCATTTTGAAGTCAAAAGATCCTCTCGACTAAACAGCTGCTTCTTGCTTTTTCAAAATTAAAATAAACTGTTGAATAATTTATGGTAGAAAACTCTCGTGCCAGTTAAATCAAAAACAATGATTGCAAATCTTATTTGTACAGCTTTAAAAATATAGAAATTTAATGGAGATACTTAATTATAAACAGACAACAACATTGGTTTTCAGTAATTTAAATTGTTTGCATCATCGTGCAATTATGAAGCTAGGAAGACTATGAGAGATTTTTCCAAGAGTATCAAGAATTTGGCAAGACAATGCAGTTGTCATTTGGAACGAAAAAAGAACTAATCAAAATAGTAATAGGCTAAGCCCGGCAATGCAGTAAGAGTATGTCCAGTTCTTAAAAAAAAAAATTTACCTTGTACTGGTAGCATAGTTTTTGTCGTCGAAAGTGCAGGATCAGCTTGCACTTTACCTGCCTTATTCATTTTAAATTGCACATGAAAAGTATAATTATATATATATATATATATATATATTATACATTAACTGCAGCTAACGGCATTATAATGGACATTTGTAATCAGCTTCGATCTGATCTTTGAAAATTCTATCATATTTTCCGCATGAGGGAGAGAACATGGACTGGATGTATTGGTTACTGGAACATCTCATGTATTTCTTGTTCTAAACTCACAAACTACATCAATAAACTAAAACCGACTGACAACAACAGAAAAGGTCAAACCCAATTCGAAATGTCCCAATCTAAAAACAAAAAGGTTCCAAATGACATAGAAAAATGACATAACTTGTAATTCACTCGCAGCAACTATTGCTTTAGAAACCATTGCTCAAATAGCAACTCGCTACCACTCAGTCCTTGCAGCAATAAATTGCGACGTCATACACCAAGATGATAAACTTAAAGATTTTTAATTTATTTAAAAGCCACTTAAAAAAACCTTTAATTAAAAATTCTCCAAATCATTTTCTTTCCAAAATTCTAGGAAGGATAGGAACTAAAATGGCGAAAGCAATCTTCCATAGTATATCTTAAAAAGGCATTCTTTGTAGTACGAGATTACATTAAACACAAATAGTGTAGTAGATCTCTTGTCAGTTATGTGCCGAAACCGAAAACGGTAAAAACTGGAAGATCAGATCACTTCAAAAGGACAAGAAATATAGAATTAACTCTGAAATATTCCCAAAATATATTATATTGCATTTACCATGACATCCATTGGAGGTTGCTGTTAAAGAGTGTCATGGTTGCCGTGTTTTATTACTGAGGAGATTAAAGACATGTGATAATCCACTTCGTCCCTGTTTATTCCACACTTTACCAGTGAATTTCTGAGTTGCTTCTAATCAGTAAGTGGTGTTCCGTTTCATGTCTTTCATAAGCATTAGACTAATCTGCTATAAAAATCACAACACCCTAAATTGTAATTAACGATAGCATCAAAGGTAATCACCAAGAGCAAGAGCTGATAGCCTTCCTCAAGCTACATTTTCATTTAATCTTGCAAATACATCACTTTCAATCCAGAAAATGTAGATGAGTGGCGGAGCCTTCGTTTCATTTCGATTTTTTTTTTCTCGAAGTTTTACACTTCAAGCCTTCAAATTATAGGAAATATTACGGTGGCCAAAACTTAACAAAAAAGTGTAGATAGGTGACAAGAAGCATCATCCGGGACAAGTGATTGATACTTTCATCGTTAGTTTTATCCAAAGACTATACAAGATCGCATAATACCTAAATTCATGCAAATAAATTTTATGCAGCAAAGTATTAAATTGATTTTCGTGCTAATTAATCAATTAATTGTCTAAAATAACTGCTAACTAAACCATAAAACACAAAGTGGGATTGCTGCATAAAAGTAAGCGAACTGGAAAAAATGGCAAAAATGGTAGTCAATTTTGTGAAATTATTTCATTATATGTTTATTAACGGAAAATAGGAAATAAAAAGGAATACATCAAACACAGTAATAATAGATAGGACAAATGGCACTTTTGCCGTAAAAAACATCACTTCCATTTCAGTGAAAAATCGAGATTCGAACGCATAGAACTTTCAAAACAATTTTCAGAGCCTTCTTCAGCTTCTTCCTAAGAAATTAATTCCTAACAAGAGTTTTGATTTATGTTCTTTTATAATGCTTTTTATATTGTTTAGCATGCCAGCAATTTGATTCTATTTTTAGGCACTTAAACTTTCAAAAGCGATTATTAAAATTTCGATTGAAAGAATAAAATTTTATGGGAAAATATCACATACTGCAACTACCGACGACGCGAGCATCAATAGACGATGAGCAATAGGGAAATTATCTCGCTGCAGCGAATGTGATAATGCATTAGCTGAATGACCATATTCCACCGGACAACTAAAAGTTATAAATATTATTCTATCCCAGGATTGCAAAGTATTTCCAAAGAAATAAGAAGAGAAGGGACTTACCTCAAAGAGAATAAAAGAGATCTATCAAATTGTTGCTTTCTGTTAGCACTTTCCTTTACTAAAAAGTGATATACATCAACAAAACAAAAAATGAACCACAAAATTAATTCTTACTTTCATTTTTTAACTTCAGAAATCGCTGAATTAACTGCCAGTTTCAAGATGCATAGAATTTTTTGAATTGTTTCACTGAAACATACCTGCAGACGAAAATAACCACTGGGCAGCATAAAACCATTTTTGCTCAATGTTGTTTATGTGTGAAAGAATACTATTGTTAGTAACGCAGTAGTTTAATAATTCGATGAGCATATCAAATTTCCTTTCGAGATAAAGTTTGGTTAAAAGCAGATCGATCATAGATGGCTCCAGCAATTGGTAATCTATCACTACAGATGCCACAAACAAAGTCAGCTAAAAATGTGGCAGGATAATTGACTAAGCGATTAGTAGTAATAAATATCAAATTCAATTTCCTCTCTTAATCTCGTTTACTCTAATTCTTTCGATTCGAAGTATTATGGTTACAATAGTTATTATCAAACATACTTGTGGTGTTTGCAAGGTATTATTTATCAACGATTTCAGCAAAACGGTTTTCTCTGCCGAATGAAATGTTTCGGTGTTTAAATCGATTTCGCATTCATCAATCATTCGAGAATACAACATTATTTCCAACATCGAGCTAAATAATTTTGAAACTTTCACCGTATGAGATTAATTAGTATCAAATTTATTAAGTGTTTTCAAATACTTCTAATTCTTTTTGAAGGTTTGTGAGTTTGTAAATATTGTAAATAAAGTACGGGAAATAGTTCAACGATAATACAAGATATTTAAAAGAAATGCATTAACTTTATTAATTTAAAATATGAATATTATGCTGTATTTCTCACCAATATATTATTAAAAATGTATAAATCGTACTTCAAAGAATCATTAACACATTTGTTTAATTTCAAACAGAAATTCTGTTTTAACCGGCAATACCAGAAATGACAGCAATGGTTATTATTTGGAAAACTTACCAGACATTGCTTAAATCACTTTGCATAACCTCTGGAAACTGCTCACATCGAAGCAATCGCAATAAGCAACAAAGAGCGCGTATTTTACTCCCATATGAGCCCTGAACTGAATTCTGTGAATATTGAATGATTAAAATAATGCACAGTTAAATTCCCTGAATATACAACTTCACTAATTTAATAACTCAAATCTAAATATAAATAGCTAAACGCCAAATTAAACCTGTCGATAGATATTTGTAAGACCATAAGCTGCTTTTTTGTAATCTCGTAACCGTGATAATTGTACAACCCTGAAAGTCCAGAAAATTATACTTTGTTGGATTCAACTTTTATTAACACTACTGGTTTGTTTCATAAAATCAATTTGACATAAAATCAAAAAACAAATTATATAATGACAAATGGAGCAGGAAATTATCGCAGAATATGCAACCACATGAATACTTGGCCATGATATTAAAGGAAATGAATAAAATTTTTTTTACTAGTTTTCTTTTTCTTTTTGCTTGAAAGTCAAACTAATCATTGCGGAAATGCAACACTCCATTACAATGACTGAGATTTCAAACCTCGAAACTGTAGAGTCGGAATATGGCAATCTATAAATTTCCCCATTATTTTCTTTCGTCGCTATCGACATCAATGGCACATCACTTAGATTTGTCTGCAATATATTAGATCACTAATTCTGAAAAAATTTTTAGCTCACATTTGCATACTTTCTACAGCTACAATGAATATTTAATTGACCATTTCACCTACTTCATTAGGATCAAAGATCACAACTTTTTCAGCATTCCATCCAAGCCATTGTTGAATAACTCTGTCCTGAATCATATCCAGATCCAAAGCAAATATGTTAGCCAATTCAACCGTGCATGGAACCTTGTCACCTTAAAAACAAAAAAAAAAAAATGAAAAACGAAAGAACTGGACTGTTTATCGCAGCATTTTCAGATAGAAATAATCCCTAACAGTCGAAAAAAACTCTTAACTAAAAAGTCGAAAAGGAAGAAAAAAGTGAACATACCAATATCTTTACAACTGCTCCAGTCAATTTCGTTTGTATAAATATGCTCGATAAGATTTTGAGGCGCGGATAACATATCCAGTGTGTCCTGTTGCAGGAGTCCATATTTTTTGAGCACAAACTCGATATTGTAACTTTTATAAGCTTCTTCCAAATTCTGATGAAAACGCTTCAAAAACCCAATATCTTCGATTTCCTTCTGAAACCAACTTAGTGAAAACCTTGAGTATTATTCTCTGTGCTTTTTCTAATTACTCTAGCGCAGAAACAGTATTTTTTTAACAATTAAAGAAAACATCATAATTAACACAACAGCAAATGTCATGTCAAAATAATGATTCTGCTTGTTGTTCTAACTCATATGAATATAAATAAATAAATATATATATACCTCGGTCGATTCATGCTTAACATCTGCAAGCCATTCTTCAATGATATCGATTCCCATGGATAAAAAGCACAGTTTCGTCTCACCTTGAAGAAAAGTGATGAAAAGGGAAGCAACTACATTTGGAACCATAATTGAATTCATGAATTAAAAAAACTCACTCAGAGGCAGATGTTTGAAACCATCCGTTAAACCTTTCAGTGTTCGAAGGCGATTTGTGGCTTTTCTAACTAGCTGCCTGATTCGTTCAATATCACTCTTATCCGTATCAGCATCCTTGGTAATGTATGCTTGAATAGTCAATAAAACAGCACTGGATAGAAGGTCTGATTTGGAAATTTCAATTTCAGGCAACGCTCGAACAAACATCTGCCAGTTCTAAAGGCGGCTGATAAAAAAATGCATAATTCATACATTTAACAATGACATATTTTAAAATCACAAATGAGATTTTTTTTAAATTTTTAATTCCATTTAGTGATTTAACGACTTGGCCTGGTTACAAGTAATAAGAAATTGACAGTAGCGGGGAACTTTGTTCTAATCACAAAAGAATAAATGTTGATAAAGGGAAATTTTAATTCACATATCCACCAGAATTCTAGATAAAAGATTTGAAATTATTCAAGAATCATTGAATATGTACATAACCTAATTTGTAAAAATCCCTTGAATCTAACAAATTTCAGCTAGAAAAAATCGACGACTGCAAATAAATTTATTTTCTAGAAAGAAATTACATCGACATTGAAAAGCGTAAGCTCGGCATGAATCATGGGAAGCAAAATATTCTGCAAATCTTTTTCATTTTCAAACATAAACGGATGAAATGGAAGACGATGGCAAGCTTGGCTGGGAAGTTGACTAAAGAGCAGATCTGTCTTATTATACAACGGACAGCCACCAATTTCCTCCAGAGTGGTTGCATCTTCTCCATCATAAACTTTCACTGTTAAACTTTGCTGAAAAAAATTGAAGTGATTCCATATTTTTTAAAATCCCTCATGTCAATAATCCATAAATATAAATTTAGTTAGCGAAAGATATTTTTTATCATACTGAGTGAACTGAACCTGTTTGATAAGAAATTTTTGACGTTCATTGTACCATCTTATCTCTTGGTCAGTTGGGGAACTCACACGTTCATTGATCTCTAGGAACCGGATTGTTATGGAAGCCCTCCGTAATATTTCAACTTGATCGACATTATCATCGTCAGCATATTTAGTCATTCCATTGATTATTACTTCAATGGTCTAAAAACCAAGAAAACAATATTTGGGAATACTTTATCTTTAAAGGCTATGTCTGCAATTTTTTTAAAAAAGCTTTTTTAGTTATTAATAAGTGACAAAACTTTTCCTGAAACAGATTAAAAAGATAACAAAAGAATTGACTTGTAATTAATTTATAGAAGAGGCAAATTAACGGAAACTACTTACCTCATAATTATAAGGACAAAGCGCCATCAAACAGGCATAAAGCTGCATGAAAAGATTTTCCGTAACACCAATTTTCTGTAATCGTTGCAATGAGTAACTTTAAAAACACTTCAGAAAAAATGAGAAATAATTAGAAAAATATGGAAATTAGTTAATAAAAATAGTACTAACCTGTAATGCTATGAATACAGTAAAACGCATTTCTGCTGCTAATATTTGATCGTCTTCTACAGAAGCTCTGAGTGCCATTTTTGTTGCATATAAAATCAAAGCTTCAGTGATTTCCAATGAAAAATCATCGCAAAATCTGGAAATGCATTGCGATTAAAGCAAATACCAAACTTTTATAACATTTACTTTTTTTTGGCTCTAAGTTCTTTGGTCCAAGAGATTTTGTTTTTTATGGTAATGATGAAACCCTACAAACATTTCCGGAGCACTGAAGTTTTAGAAAATTTTGAGTGAAATTATTTACAACAATATCATTTATATGAAATCTTGAAATTTGAATATAGCAAAACGCATTATCAAAGTCTATTGGGTCAATCTAATGTTGCTTTAATTAATGGGTAACAAAGATAGGTAGGATAGAATTAGGACAATTAAATTCAATTTCAAATATTATAACTTCATAATTTCTATTCTTAATGACCATCCACACTGGAACATGGAGGAAATATAATATAAAATAAAGCGGATAACTTACTCGACTAATATTTCGGGTGGGATAAGACAGCGAACGAATTCTTGCACTGTTGCATCTAATGATACGTTCTGAGGAAAATTAGCATTTAGTCTCCCCAACTTCTTGATCCACAAAGTCAGTGCATAATGATGCTGCAAAAAAAACAATATAAAGAAAAAAAAAAATAGAGAAGATACAAAATAGTTGAAAATATTTCGGTGAAAATCAACTAAGTTATAAATCATATTTAATAAATTTTGCTTTTTGTTTAAGTTTTAGTAATAATTTTCTTGATAAAATATTAACTTACACTGAGCTGCTTTTCAAAAGAATAATCATCGAGCATAATGGCACAAAATCGAGCAAAACGAATGAAATTGAGCATAATATGAGGCGATTTTCGTGTTACACACCAAGATCGCGTTTTTAGTAAAATCTGGAAAAATATAGAACAAAAAAGAGGCCCACTGTGTGGGACAAAAAACTATAGTGTGGCTACATCTGAATGCCAACGACTGCACTTGGTATATAAAGTTGAAAGTTTAGCCCCGTAAATTAATTTTTTCCTCTAAAAAAAGGATTGAGAAAATGATCAATTAGGGTATATACATAACAACGAACACAAAGAAACACAAAAATTCTTTTTCAACAATATGTTATCTCCTAAAAAATCTATACGAAAACATTTAAAAATAAAACAACAAATACCTTTTTGATATCAGCAACTGGAGCGGAAAAAATGAGTGCAGTGCAGAATTCAAGATCGGCACAGTTATGTATTAAAGCTCGTTCCATAAATAATTCGATAGTCCCAAACAATTCAGAATAAGTCAGATTAACATGATTCGGAACCATGTAACATGCTCAAAAAAATTTATTTTAATTTAAAATATTCAAATCATTGGCTTTAAAAATAGTATAAAAATTCTTGATATCATTTTGAAGCAAATGTCTGATAAATGACAACAAAACTTAAAAATGAGATACAGCAAAATTTACCTAATAATACAAATGAGAAGCGAGCACAAACTGTTATCAGAAGCTGATTATTGATAATCAAATAGGAAAAGAAACTTTTCCATGCTATTCGCATATTTTCGTAATATTCCAGCAAATTACTCGTGCTGTAACTGATATATTGACACACTTTCAAATTCACTTAAGATGGAAATTGGAAAATAGGCGATGAGTTACTTGATATCAATCAAATCGGTGTCTTTCAAAACATCGAAAACGACGGAGCGAGCCACAGTGGATAATTGTCGTATCGCGTCACTTTTCTTAAAAAGAGTGCCATCCATTCTGTAATGATAAACGCCAGACCGCCTCCCAAATCCATATATTAAGCATGCCCTATAATAATCACTTCACTTCATTTGTCTCGTTTTACATTTGAGTGTAAGTTAAATCACCAAACTGTATCTTCGAAATTCAATACTAGAAATGTATATAAGAAAGTGAAGGTACAAATAAAAGAGATTTTATAGATATAAATAAAGCTTACTTTTTGTCTACATATTCGCTTTCTTCTACCAGATCTTCAGACATGCACTGTGAAACAACCACTTCGAACAAATTTACAAAAAGAGCAATCTGAAAATTGTAAGTTGACTTCCGCTCCATTCATAAAGATCAAATGGAACATCAGTAAATAGAAGGCTGGAAAATATAACCCTAACAACACTAAATTGTAGCATATAGTTAAAAGAGAAGCGAGTTCAATTTTTTTCGTTTCAAAATCAACAATAATTGTCATGTTTTCCCAAATTCAAACTGATAGCTATGCCAAGAATAGCTAGAACTGTGATTGCTAAATAAATGACCATATAAAACACTGATCGGAAAAACAATTTAAATACTCATGTGATAATGATACAAGCAGATACAACGAACAGCTTAGGCTATGTGATCAAAAGCATACTTCCTGTTTATCTAGCGAAATATCGATTTTAGAGATAGATAAGAACAAAAACTTACATGGAAAACATGCGTGTTTAAAGAAGAGTTTTGGCAAGTAGCTTCGATTAAAATACTCATTAAATCAGATAGATTCCCAAACACAACAAATATCTAAACGAGGAACTGTAAGAACTCGAGATGTTGACTCACTACAAGAATAAAAGCAATAAGTTAGTCTTTCCGCTACTTTTATACTTGAATTAGATAACAATTAATAAATGCCTCAGACAAAGGCAAAAAATTCAAAAAAGTGACAGCTGTGTTTTACCGGCTCAAAATCACTATTCTCAGCTAACTCCGACATGATCCATAATCCATAGCTGCAACTCTTCACTACAAGTGTTAATAACTGTTCGCTTGGTTTTTTTGCATCTTGCATCGCAAATCTACAATTGTAAAGTATTATTTGCGCGATATAAATATGAAGACTAATCAAAATTTGAACTAAAGTCTATTACTTTGCATATTCCAAAGCTGCTACAGGATTTCGATTTTCCAATGCACAGTGAAGCGCTATTTCATACATCGCAGTTTCTTCCATCATCAGAGCATTTGATAATTTGAAAAGCTACGGAAAATTACACAAATATTGTGGAATCTGTATAAAAGTATCAAAAAAAAAAAAATCAATAAAACGAAATATTTTGACAAATTAACCTTATTTCTTAGTCTTCTACTTTTTTCCTTCCCAAAATTCTAGGCAAATCAGAATACAGTAACATTACCTCAGTCATCCTTACAGGGATGCCACCATCAGCAAAATGACAATTTAGAAAATATCTTAGTTTCGCCGATTTCCAAGTGTTATTTCGCAATAATGACAGATGAGTAATCATGCCATGATCAATTTGCAGCTTTCGAATAGCATTCAATTCTGATAGAAATATTTCATCCTCAAATACTTTAATTAATACATCAATTTTCATTGGTCGTTATACGTCAATATGGATTTTTGTTTTTGCTCAACACAAACATTAACATAAATCAACAACTTCAATTTAAGCCAAGTAAACATTTTTTAAACGTTTAACATTGTAGTGAGAGTCGATTGCTAGTTTTCGGAAAATTTTGCTCAAAAAAATTGCCATTTGAATGATCTAATCCTTATAAATCTGTTGGCGTAGGAGGTAGGTCCCGGCATTCTGACATTTAGTTACTAGCTTACTGGCAGACTGACCAAAGGATTATTTCCTTTAGCAACGGCACTGAACCAATCATCTTATAATTGTAATAATTCTTTACAGACTAATAGCATTGAAGCTTCATAGGTTTTGTTACCGAATCGAAAAAGCTTAGAAAAGAAATATATTTTTAAACTAAGAGTGATCAAAAATTAGAAATATGATGCCATTATAATAGATAATACACATAAATTGCCAGGACGTTTTCAAATAACAAGAGCTATCCAATTAGAATATTTAAATTTATCATTCATTAAAAAAACTTTTTTTAGCACTGATAGTTATAAAAACACACACTTAGGATGTCTCAGCAGTACAACATATGTCGCCAACCCTTAAGCGTTCTTTAAGGAGAATAAAAATTAACATTTGTCACGAAAGTTCATCTTCACTAAATTGAACTTCGTTCCAGTTAATTTTTCCAAGAAAAATTTTCATAAACGTGTCAAACCTGAACTCAAAATATCACCTTTCTAAACCGCTCCAAGAAGCATGAAGTAGCTTCCACAGTTAGAAGTCGAATTTCTTTCTCCTTCTGAAAATTATATGGATACGAAAGTGAAAATATGTTAAAAAATGTTCAATAAAATTTACCTCCGTCAGGAGCAAAACCGGACAATTTAACATTGCTTCAATGTGTGACATGAGCCGGTCGATCACACAATTCCGGTCAGTCTCACTAAGGTCGTTGAGATAAGAAACGACACCCACATACTAAAATAGAGACAATTAAATAAGCAGGAAAATGAATACGAGAAAGTGGCGACACCACAAATACTTTCAAATAACGCCTAAAATATATTAGGATTAGTTTTGAAAATAATGACAAATTATTTGAATGATTATAACAGAAAATAAAGTAATGTTTCTGCCAGAAATGAGAAACTAACCAATTCATTTATCAATTTTGCATTGATCAAGTAAAGACAGAAACGAAAAATACATTCATGTCTCTCCATTAAGTTCTTCTTCAACTTTTCCGCCAATTTAATTATCTAAAAACGCATTTCCTCATAGTAAAATATTGTCTCCAATCAACGACATTTTTAGACTTTAAAAACCACTCTGATCTTTGTTTTATAATGCCAATCAGTCACTAAATTACTTCGAACAGAGAATCAGAAAAAATTGAGTAGAAAAAAAAACCCCAAAAGTAACAAAATACTCTTTACAACAATTACAGATTACTACTTCAGAACAACTAATTGCAAGTCTTAAAAATCCACCTCCAGAGCACTGCTAAGTCTGTGTTGAGGATCAGCTTCCACAGATTCCTGCCGAAAAATAAATTCTATGGCCTTGCTAAACAAATGCTTTTGTTGCAAATATCTTTCTAGTGCTTGCATCGGCAAACGATATTGTACCAACCGTTCTCCTAATGCAGCAAAATCACATTGCTGTTGCAAGCGAGATGCTCTTAAAAATCCGGGTATCTAGTAATCAAATATATCGACTACAAATATATATTAATGAAAGAGTAAGTTTTACTATTAATACTAATGCTTAAGATATGAAATGAAAATGCAAAATATTACTTCGCAATCACAGTATTGTGATTTGCGTCTTAAATTACCGATTTCTCTTTGAATCACTCGTAAAAAAGCATTATTGAAAAAGTCGTCAACGAAGTTTGAACAGCAACTGAGTAGATGAATTCCTTTTCATCATTTTATGTTTTATTGTATAAAATATCAAGCATTTCAAAGTGATCATGCAACAAAACTTACGTTTTAAAATCAAGCCCAGGATCTCTTAACATTACGTGTACAGCACTTGATAAGTGCTTAGTCCATGGTGGGTGAGCACGTTTTGCAACATCAATCAGCGCCTCACATCTCAAATTCAGATTTGAAATACTTTCTGCTACAGCCAAACACCGTTCATCCCACGGATTAGAACTAGAAACAACACCGGCAGAACTAGTTGCGATTTTCTGTAGAAATGATGGAATTATCGCAGCATTATTACAGAAAAAAAATATTTAATTAAAAGACGCATTAATGCCTCTTTTGTTTTGTTTTCTTTCAACTAACATTAAAGGATTGGAACAAGCTTTTTTAGAAAATATTTCAATAATTTTAGTAAATTTTGAGAAAGCAGAACTTTTTCCTTTTCAACAGACTGTTTTTTAAATGGCTGTGTTACTATAATTTATATTGGTCTTTATTGACGAATTCACGATAAACAACCTGCGTAAGTAAACCTGACAGCTGTTTTGCTTCCTTTTGTAATAAATAAAATTTACCAAAATGTATTTGTACAGTGTACGATCAGGATCCAATTTGAATTCATTCATGTAAGGTCTCGCATATTCATCAATATTACTTTTGATTAATTGAATACTTTTTACGCGTTCCAACATTAAGTAACATATTGATTCCACTGTTTGTTCCTATGAAATTCAACAGCATCGATTAAGATAAAAAATGACAGAAGACACAGAATTTGTCCGGATTATAAATAAAGTTGCAAACTGGTGAAGAATGGATTAAAATCGAGGTGCTGTTAAATTTTCATATTTTTCGTTCATTATTTTAACTATGCTAGAAATATGCAAGTAGAAACAATAGCATCATTATTTTTACCTAAAAAAAAGGCAAAGATTGCAAAGAAAAAATAAAAATAGGGAAAATTAAGAGATGAAAGTTTTCGTCGCAACCAAATCAGCAATCCATTTTTTTCAGCTGAATATGCATCTTTATCGAAGTTCACTGTTTAGCCTACTTGATAAGTATTGTAACTCATCGTGCACTGATAAACACTCTTTAGCCTTTCCATTGAACGCAAATTTTTTACATAAACATTCAACTCTCCCATCAAGTCATTTGGATCTTCAGAATAACACCCGATAACTGAAAGTGCGTAAGCAACTTCTGCCTGAAAATTTTATAGGTTCGATGAATGTGGTTCCAAAGTAAACAGATAAAAAATTACGAGGTTAAAGAACGTTATCTCTTATAAGGAGTGCTTCAAAAAATTGACTCATTTGTAGCTTGCCACCAATGTATGAACTCAAATTTTCACTCTATAGTTAGGGCGGGAAACAAACGTATTCAGAACAATTTAACTTAATAATTCACTTGACGACATGGAGTTATAGAGCAATTGAGTAAGTTCTGTATAACTCTTTCCATAGTTGACGCAATTTGAAAAGAATTTTCAGGAAAACATTCAGGGTGTTCTGTTTCGACTACGCGAGCAACGTCCATTAAAAATGTTTTGCAACATAAGAAGCAAGTTCTAGGGTCATTTAAAATTGCGATAGGAATAACGTCTTCTAGAAAACGCACTGCCTCCATGACCTCATTAATCATACCTAAAATTCGAAGGAGTTCCACAGAAATCCAGTTTGTTACTGAAATAATTATATCCAAATTTGATTCATGATTGTGGAACAAAAAAGCTTCTAATAATCAAATAACTGTTATATTATCTCATCTTGACACTTCAGAAAATCATTAAAACTTGGCGCTCAGTTACAACTTCACATAAAAGAATTTCCACAACCAGTTACCACGAACTGTGAGATGAATTTCTCCTAGTAGACGTTCGAAACTTCCTCTTTCTTTAATCCACTCCTCCAGGGTTTTCCGGTAGCGACACCATATCAAGCGTGCTTCACAGAATTGTCCATTCTTGCAGAAAATTTCAAGAATATGCTCCCATGAGCAACCACTGAGAAATTCTGACCACAAATCAATTCCCGAGAACTTGCTACAGCATGGTTTTTGCTGTAAATAAAAATATCATTAAATTTCATTAAAAGCTATCATTAAATTGGAACTCTCCATTCTACGGTAACCTGCAATCTATATATTGAAATTACAAATCTGAACGTACCCAAGGACCAAACACCTCGCGATATGATTGGTAGTTGTAACGCATTAATAATAACTTCTCTTTCGTTTCATTATCTAAAGTGAAATAATGAGATTTAGAAAAATTTTCAATCATTTAAATGCAAATCAAAGATACAAAATGTAAGACAAACATAATTTACAAAACTACCTGTAATTTGGAGGTTTTTTACGAAATCTAATGTTTTCTTAACCCACAAATGGCTTGAACAATACATCAATGCAGCTATGCACATTTCAGCCACCTAAATAAATAAACGAGATCTAACATGCCTATCCAAAATCAAGATTTAACATAATTAAGAATGCAAGTAGTGTGAAGCAGATGGAGTCAATATAATTATTTATAATGATAGTAAAAAAATCGCAATAATTAAAAAATGCTTACCCAATTCTGGTCCGAAACATGCGTCATCCAACCAAAAAACTTGTCTAATTCATGTGTTTCGAGGTCAGTTTGACCCATCATTCCTGTATCCACGAAATGTTCAATACGGGCTATATAAATTTTCTGCAATTAACTCACTTTTATCGCAATTGTGTATTTACATTCACTGTCTTACCTTACCAATCAACCATCTACGCGCAAAGTGGAATATCAAGTGCACACCTCCATGCTCAAATTGAACATCTGAGCAAATTCTTTAGCTTCAACCCATCGCTGCTGATATATTAAATGATCTAAACGCATTTCCGGCTGGCATTCATAAACTGCATGGATCTTGACTGCATTTAGTTCACTAAAATCCTATGTTTAAAGAAGCATATACAAACAAAATTTGTCGCGTCCAAATCTATTAAAACAAATGACTGCAGATTCATTTTACTGCAGGGTAGTTGTCAAATCAAAGTAATATCCCACTATCTCTTGCTGGAAAAAATTATTTTTTACTAAAGAGAGGAAGCATTAAAGAAAGTGGAGATATATCCATAAAATGGTTGATGCCAGCTTCGATAATATAACTGAAATAATGTGCTAGGAAACAATTAGACGTTTATCGTCTGAAAGTCAGCTGTGACTCACCTACTTTCATACGCGAAAAGCTGTATAAAAAGTACCAATCCCTCTTCGCGCGTAACTTTGTTCAATAACAGTGTCGCACTGTTCACTACTTTCGTATAAATTACATCACAAGTCCGGAAATTGCGAATTTGAAGCTAAAATCAAATTAAGTAGATCCAATTTCTGCACAAGTATAAAGAAATCTAAAGATCTAAAAGGCTATAACTTGCCTGGCACGCTCCTTCCTGATTGACAAAAAGAAGTACCAGCTTGGTGTTTTCATTGATTTTGCCTTCCCGATCTAGAACATCATCAAAAAGCATGAAATCTTTAGCAACTTCACCAGTTTTTAAAAGAACAATTGATGAAATCAGCAGAGTTGTTACGGCGTCCCAAATTAACAACTGTCCGTCTGTTGTCAAAGCCATGATAAATTTGATAGCTCGAGATGTATGCTTGTCACGATGTGTAAGATGCCGAATTCGTACGATGCCCGAAACGTCTGAAATTAGAGAATCAAAGTATTAATAAAGTTCATTATAAATATGATTTTAACAAAGGACTAACAACTACAGACAGAATGTCGGGTTTGCACTTTAAGAAGAAATCAATTTTGTTTCATTAAAATACAAATTGTCTCTACATTATTCTTTTAGTAACGGTAAAATATAAAAAGCCTTTTTTGCAGGAAGGATATATTTTAATTAGAGGGCTCACCAGATGAATAAAATTCGTCTGGATCTTTGTTCAAAATTTCTGCGGATAAATCAAGTAATGCTATTCTCGCATTCTGCTTCGATGACAACTGAATGATAAATGATTTATCATAAAATTATATATTCTGAATAAAAGATACCTGCCAATTTAAAAGCGAATTTCTTGCATTGTGAGAACTTTAAAATGGACAGTAACATGATTTAGGAGACATTATAAATTCATGTATTATTTTACTATTATGATTGATATTCGCATTATGATTGTTATGATTATTAATTATTAAAGATAATTATTGCTCGATAATTGATTGATTTTTTGATTTTTTTTTTTCACTTTTTTAGCTTGAAATACAATGGAAATTTTCTCTCTTCGTCTTTCTTGAAGATTGCTAAAGTGCAGTATATAAGATAAGGCACAAATTATTTAAAAGACGAACTTTTTTTTTTAAAAAAAAGTAACTTTAAAATTTATGTTCGATATTTCTGATTTTGTGAAATTAACATTAAGTTTTATAGAAGCGAAAATTTTACAAGCAAAAGAGTATTAAAATGACTAATGATTGCAGAATCTCTGCTAGCGTAATGTGTGTCAAACTGTTTCCAAACCATGTTTTCCATGCCCTAAAATTATGATAAAAATCATTATTTAATAAAAAAAATTTGATAAGCAAATATCGCAATACTAATCTTCCAATCAAATATGAATGCAACAGATCGCACATTTAAAAATAATTGCATTTGAAACTGACGCCTTGTTATATTCATAAAATTGGGAACCTTTTGTCTGTTCGATATTTCGATTTCGACTTCCTGTTCTGGATGAAAATATTCTGAATAATTCGGGAAAAAAAATGAATAAATTTCACCACTTTCTAAAATAATACACATCCGCGCATGTTCAAGATGCAGATCGCAGTTTATAGTTGCACCTTGTATCCGTTTATTTTCCACCAACTTCTGAATGAAAAGGTGATTTAAAAAAGACGTCTGAGAAAGAATCAATTCTTTAAATCAATTCTTGAAAAAATGAGATTCACTTCAACTGAATATGGTATGTTCTCGATGAAAATATTTTAAGTAATTCGGGAAAAAATGAATAAATTTGGCTTTTACAAAAAAAAAAAAAAACAAAAACAAAAACGCAGAAAGTCATGCATTTTGCAACAAAAAAATTCAAGAACATGATTACCACTCGATGTATTATACAATTGGAACCAATACTAAGAAATAACACATTCCCGCAATTTGTCAGAATTACTATTAAATTGACTACAGGCATGAATTTCATAGCAACTGGATTGATATTTTCTGAAATATTGCTTAATTACATAGTTGAATGCAACCCAACACAATAAGAGAAATGCAATAATGAAAGAGCTCACATTGATCACATTAAATTTTCTGGATGCAAGCTGGAAGTGTTGAATGTGATCAGAACATCTGTAGATGAGAAACCTTAATTCTATCTATGTGATGCTAATTCCATCTGTACGACCATTACCGTTCTAAGCAACTTAAACTTCCAGCTTTTTATGCATCATTAATACCTTATGCACACTTTAAACAGTTTACTGAATTGTCTTACCTCCGAGATGCACTGTGACGATGAATCTTGCACCACAATGAAAACTAAATATTGAAATATCCTCGCCTATTGCAACCGCCAATAAATCACCATCAGCATTCATATCGCTTAACACAATTCTTTCTTTCCGCTCTATCTCACGTTCGTCGTTTTTGCTTTCTAACCTTTCATAACTGCTACTTTCACTTTGCATAGATTCCATATATGATTCATCATCATCTGAATATGTGTGAGTTGATTAGATGAATCTCTGAATATTTGTAATCAGACTTTTCCTTATTACTTGTCCAACTTCGCAATTTTCTTACCCTAATTTGAACAACTCATCTCATCCTTCACAAAATACTATTCCTAAGACAAAAGACATTTTAATGAATTTTACCTTCCTGCATCTTAAAGAAAATACTACCGAAAATTGATGCAATTATATTCGACTCGTATAAACTGCGACATTTTTGTTTAGAAAACGTCAAATTTGTTGTTTCATTACCATCGGTGGGTGTTGTTATGCTGATGAAGCGAGTACCCACAACAGCTAACATATTCGAAATACGCCAGATATCTAGTAGTGTTAATTGATTACATAAACATTCGTTGAATTCTACTGCTTTCAAGTTTTGTTTAAAAATGTGTTCCAAGTATTGGAAGATAAAAGCTTTCAAGCATCACTACAACTGCACAAAGCACACACTTCTATATTTTGAAATATTTTTATACAACAAACTGACAAATTTCTGTTTTGCAAATTAGTCCGAGAAATGAAAGTAAGACTAGCAATACTCGACGATCCCTGATCAAATTTTTAGTCTTTCCTTCCTTGTTTTCCTAGAGTTTTCTTAGGAGTCAATGTTTGGAAACTTATATGATATCCCTATGGTATGAATATGATAAGAAAAGTTGAAACAGTTTAATAGACGACATACAATTATTCATCAGAAAAAACAGTAAGCAATAGAGCCACTACTTGAGGTTTCCTAATATATTATGAGGATTAAAGAGTGGAACAATTGTTACTTATCAGATTCTTATTATGAATGATAACAGACTATTTTTTTGACATAAGAGTATTATATCGGAACTGATATTATATCGAAGTGATAATCAATAAGCAACCAACCCGTTGTCGCGACGTTTTATAAATCAAACTAAGTATTACACAACAAAGGTCATATATTCAATGAGTGGAAAGTATCGGTGTACATCAAAAACGAAAATAGGTAAACAGAAATAAGAACAGAAACTGGGAACTTTCTATTAAAAGTAATTGTTCTCACTCTACCAGTCTATTAATTTCAGAACCAAAACACAATAACTACTCTATTCTTCAGATAGTGAAGTAAGAACTAAACGCTTCCCTTCCCATTTCGAAAATGTCATTCCCGCCAGTCATCTCCTGTCATTTATATTGCCGCCGCTGGAAAGCATTACCCTTCAAGGAGGAGAGGCAATTTAAAAAATAGTAACTTTGTAGTTTTGTGACGAAGTGGAGAGGCTGTGGCGGACGACTATTGGGCGGTCTTATAAGCAGCAGTCTGAAATTATTCATTGGCCTATCGAGGAGCCACAATAGCACAAGATTAATTTAATGCATTAACTGGAGTTCCGAAATCAGTTCCGATATAATACTCTTATGTCAAAAAAATAGTCTGTTATCATTCATAATAAGAATCTGATAAGTAACAATTGTTCCACTCTTTAATCCTCATAATATATTAGGAAACCTCAAGTAGTGGCTCTATTGCTTACTGTTTTTTCTGATGAATAATTGTATGTCGTCTATTAAGATACTGTCAAGAAGTGGAAGATGACGGTTGGTAGTCATGTGGCGGAGATAGTAAGACAGGGGATTTGGGCATCACTCACAGGCGGATGGTACTATGAACCAGGCTGTACGCTCTTCTGCAACGCTGTCCATTTATATCTATGGCTCATACTCTTCCTTATTCCTATCTTACTTGGTTTGTGCTCATTTTCTTCCAATTCACTTTACATTTTATTTCTTAATATTTTATTTTCGGTTTTTGGTCACTTCGTCACCAGTAGAAAATGTCGCTGAACTTGCTTAAGTGATTTTTATTTCATTGAGGGGAGATGCTAGGAAAGGGTTTTGCATTGTTCTAACCACTTAATTAATTCGCATAAATTACGAATTTCGTGGTTAAGAACAAAGATGATAAAACACTGAGCGACGATGATTCAATAATGTTCATAATATAATTGTTAAAAAGTATCAAGAAAGTGAAAATTCTTTCGTGTAATTGATGGAATATATTATCAATACATTTTTAACATTTTAATTTAAGATAGTATTTGATTGTATTTACTCATATTTCAGGACTCTCCTTTGGTACTATAACGTCTATGTACATTACAGTGGCCTATGTGACTTTCATCACTCTTCTCTTTGTAGTATTGAAATTCACGGTCTCATACTTGCACAACTTATTTGACACTGTTGATCCAACTCCGTACCCTCCTGCCCGTTCACTGCAGGTTGTTGCTTTTTTTTCTCTGATCGAATTTTAACTTTAGTGTTGAATTAATTGAATTGTTTTGATTGGAACTTTTGTTATGAATAAAGTTCAAATTTAGTGCTATAGTTTTAATTATTTAAACATGAGTAATCCGTTAAATGGGACAACGTTTTTTATAGGTTGAAAGTTTTTCCTGTGAGACAACACAACACTCAAATGAAAAGCTCAGAGATGAAGAAATTGAAATGGTAGATTTGCGGAAGAAAGATGGTGATGAAGCTGAGGATATAAATTATAGCTTATCTCGAAACTCGTTAGGACGTCGACGGTGTGTACGAATTGGTGACAATTCTGTTTCATCTATAGATGCAGAATTGCGGATACGCAAGGTTTTTTGGTCTTTATATACAAAAATACAAGATAATTGATAGAATTACTGTTCTTCAACTCTAAATATTAGTTTATTTTTTAATGCCTTGTCTAGGAAGTTGGTGGAGAATGGGATGAAGACCGAAGTAGTGGTCGACAATCCAGACAGGGATTAATTGCACCGTCAATAGCAACACTTCTTCCTGTAGATAGCCTTGAATTATTGCCGACTGAAATAAGGTGAATTCAGTTTTTATGCTCACAATCTTGAAAAACTTTGAGTTTTCGCAATTCCTAAAAAAAGCTAATATGAAAGAAAATTTTTCACATCAGATTTTCTTTGGATAAGCGGAATTTACTAAACTGCAGGCATCATCAATCAGACAATGGCACAATTCAGTGTATTAGAATCGATCGGAAATTCTCTGAACCATGTTTGAAGGAGGCATACAGATGGAATCGAACACGACGTCGAAGTTTAAGTGATACTGGTCTCTGTGTACGTCGTGCAAAATCAGCTTTCGAGACTTCAAATAAAGAAGGTGTTGCTAGTGGGTCGATGTTAAATGAACGGACGTTAGAGGAATGCAAGAGAGTAAACCTTATTCTAATATAATTTCTCAATCAGATTTATCGTTGGCAACCTATTCTTCAATAAATATTGTAACACTTTCGTAATCTTGGTGTAAGTATTACTATTGCTTTGAAGCATTTTCTTAGTAATGAGAAAAGAAAACTATCGGTGGCAGAGAGAAAACGAGGCGGAGTAGTATTGTACTTATCTCTGGTCATTCTGTTTTCATTTAAAAATCGACGCAGATGATATTGATTCTGCTTCAAATGCTAAATGAATTCATTAGATTTGATTCATGGTTTGTTTGCCATCACGTTAATTAAGGAGATTGGAATTTCGGTTAAATCAGGACTGAGATTTGACACAGCCATCCATGATATAAAATAGTGTATCACCTTTAATTTGGAAAGATTTTTTAATATTTTTAGTTGTCAGCTCAATTTCTTTTCCCTAACATTACTTGTAATTTGCTGGCGGTATCAAAAGGCTTTTCTTACCATACATGGTAATGCATATTTTAATCATAATTTTCAGGTAATTCGTAAATCTTACCCGACAAAAATGAGCAGTAGAGCAGCTTTTTTATCAACTACTCTAACAAAACGCAACTGTCCATCTCGTACAGGTTCCACTGACTTTTCAGTTCCTCATAAATATTCAGAAATGTTTCTTACTTTAGCTTTTATAATCTTATTAAACCTGCGTCTTATTAAATTGTGGCATGGAATGGAGTATTCAGTCCCAAAAAAAAAAAAATAAACTTGAATTTTTCAAGCTTCAATTTGATTTTTTTTTTTTTTTTTGAATTTCATGAACAATTTTAGCTATTTTCTCACAACATAAATTTACAGGTGAGCGCAATTTTGATAGCAAGTTGAAACCCGGTTCGAGTGATATATGTTATTCAAATAAAAACAATCTTGTTCTCTTCGATGAAGGCAACGAACAACAAATTCCAGCAAGAGTGATTTTTCTCCGTTTTGAAAATTGTTGTGTGTTTTGAAAGAAGCCTTTATTTGTTCTGCTTCTACTCTACTAGTTTAAACGGTCCTACTATTTTAAGAAGTGTTATTTTATATGTCATTGATTTCAGATTGATGTATTGGACATAATCTCTACTAGTGAAGAAACTGAAAATCTTACTGTGGAAACAATCGTGCATCTAGAGGTATCCTTTGTTCGACTTTCTTAAAATTAATTTAAAGTAGTTATTAAATGCTTTTTTCATATCCCGATATTGTTGTTTTCTTCTTTAGCCTAATTCTGAACCGAAATCAAATGTTATATCTTCGGGTGAAGGCTGGCGACCCATTTTCGTTTCTCTTGGTGACTTAGAAAAACCATCAACAAGTACATTGCATCGAACATCAGAGCGGCTTAATGGAGGTGACAATACTAGATAATTTATGTACTCTTCTTGTCAAAAATTTCTGTTTCACAATTTTTTCTTGATATGTGTTTTTACTAGCTACAAAAATGCCTGCGCTCTTAGGGATCTAAATTTTGCTTTTCATATCTTAGAATTTTTTGTTCGCTTCCCAAACGTAATTAAATATATCCAGCAGTTCATGAGTCAGATGGCATCAATGTCTTCATCAAAAAAAAGCATATCACTGTTGTCATTTAATACAATTATACAGTGAAGAAAAAATTGCTAAGATCAGTGAAGAAATGGACAAAAGAGAAACATAAAAAATAGCTTGTTTAATGTATTTTCAAATGAATGCAAGATGTCAATAACAAGTTCGGTTCGATGTGGAATTTTTTGTTGAAGAATAGATTTTACTGAATTTTAAATTTATTGAATAACACAAAAGTTTCATTCAACGAAATGTTTCATTCATCAAAATGTTTGTAGGAGGCAACTTCAGAAGAGTGGATCTGAAAGGTGAGATTACGAAGTTTCTGGAGGAATTGATTGATAAACATCCGGAAACGTTGGATGCTATTGAAAGTGTAAGAATGAATAGATTAGGACGAGGTCTTAGTTCAGTAAACCCTTGCCTTCGTTCTCATCCTCCGACTTTGGCACAGCCGAGGTTACTTTTGTTTCGCTTAGGGTTTTTTCTACCAGTCATACCACTTCTTTTGATTAAATTCATATGCATATCTTTCTTTGCCGAGC